TAGATGTCCTTTTGTAGTTAGTTTTTAATAATTAGTACAGTGAGATTATGAGATTTTAATTTTAATTAATAAAATTAAAGTTTTTCACTAATATCATAACAATCATGCTCATTTGTCCATAATACCATTTCATGTACAATTTTAAAATAGGATTTTTTTTTTGGATGTAATGATGTTCACATGTAGTATATTAAAATAGAAATCAAGTTTTAAAAGTAGTATTCTAGTATGTAATATTAATGGTAATTTCATAGTATGGTATAAAGGCATTACTTTTTGAAGTTTTTTTAAATGGTGCCATAAAAAGTGCTTCTGTAAAGATTTAAAAGGCAGAGGATATCATTGAAAGTAGACCTTTGTGGGAAACTGAGAAAATTGATCCACTTCAGACTTAAAATAGCAATGGCATCCAAACACTCCTACTATTTATATAAATTGAGACTTTATATTTAATTGCTAAATAATTTCAACTTATAGTCTACATATTCTTCTTATATATAATGCTGCTTGTTTTTCTACTTACTTTTTATTCTTACAAAATGTATTGCCTTTTTACTGTGTATTGTCCTTTGATGATATCTTTAAAATTTATTTTAAAGTCTTCAAGCTCATGTTTCATTTTTACCTCCTTATCACTCTCGCTTTTTACTGTCTGGTTTGTCCTTCATTGGCTTGGCCTTCCAATACTGTGCCTCGTGATTTTGAAGGCTACAGAAACTTGAGGAAAGCAATCGAGAAGAAAGAAGGTTGGAATATTTCCCAGGTTTTTTTGTTTTGTTTTTTAAAATTAAAATGTTATTTAAATTCTTAGTTGCCGTTCAAGAGGAAATGTGTTATAGAATTATAAATTGTTTCAGACAGGTTTAGCTTGGTGCTTCTAAAAGTGATGTTGATTTTGTAAAATTTAAAATACCAAATATATTTTGATAATATTTTTTAAGTATTTACATTAATTAAAATTCAGGTGATTTCATAATAAACTATCATACTTATGAAGGAGACTTTTTTAGGTTAAGAAATGACTTCATTTGGCTTTCAGAATGTATCCTTTCAGAAACTTGTTAGCAGACTGGGAATTATTATTTAGGTGGGAATTGTCATTTTGTTGCTGCCTATGCTAAGTCATGGGTGGGAACTCTTCCTTATTTGGTCTAATCTTTGTTGAAAAAAAATATTAAAATGTCAACAAAGCAAAAGGAAACTGTGGCCTTAAGACAGATATGATTTACAAAACATTTTTAAGGTTCAATTAAGAAAACGTGTTTTAAAATGTATTTGAAGTGAGCATCAAAAGACAAGAAATCTCAGTTTTTTCCACTTGGAATTTGAGCAACATTTAGAAGTTACAAAATGTTGCATTCCTCTATATAATAAACACTTGCATTTTAACTCATTCAGAATTTTGGGTATTTAAATCAAGTCATTTTTTTACTCCTTGAAGAATTTCTCTTCATATATTTTTTAAAATAAACTCCCAGACTATATAATCAAAATGATATAGAAAATAAACTGGTTTTAATAATATTTATGTATTTTAGAAGCACCACTCTAGAAATGTCATCTCATAAAATAAGCCTTTTGAGAACATTTGCTATGCAACAATGAGGTAAAGGAATATCTTACTTTAAGCACGAGAGCTTAAAAATTATAATCCCTTGAAAATTATTTGACAATTTACATTTCACCATCATATCCTACACATATGTTATTCTAACATTTCTGTAATTCTATTCTATAACTCTGCAGCTTCTTTAAAGTATTCTAAAATGAGTCATACTAGAACTCACCTGATGAGTACATATCTAGGACATTATGTTTATCATTGGAATTCAACTAAGGGCTTAAAAATGTCAAACGTCTTCTATTTTTGAAAATAAGGTGCATCGTCAAGTAGTGTGTGGAAGCATTTTCCCACCTGAAACTATTTAAGCCCTTTTAAATGTAGTTAGTGGAGTGTTTGCTTTCAACTTTTATATCCTCCATAAAGAAGAACGAAAGCAGAGCAGCCTGATATTCTAGGACAGAGCTTCTCGAACATGCACAAGCATCCAGATCACCTGAGGAGGGTGATGAATGAAGGTTCTGGTTTCTTAGGACTGAGGTGGAGCTGAGAGTCTGCATTTCTAAAGGCTCCTAGTTGATGCTAATGTTCCCCGCACTGTGGACTGAACCTTGAGTGCAGGATCTAGAATATTGGCCTGGGAGACTCAACACCTGGTTTGGTTCCGTTGAGTGGATTAGCTTACCCAGGCCACAGTTTCTTCTTTGGTTGTCAATAAAAATGTTGACACTGGTTGTCAAATGTTAAAGGGGTTCAACCACACGAGCACTTGTGTTCCTTCTAGCTCCAAGGTTCTGATTCTATGTAAAGTGCAGACTTCAGTATCTTTCATTGCTGCTTAGGTAGTTATTTTACATATAATTTGCCCAGTTTATTGAGGAAAACTGGAATATTTGAAGTGCAGTAATTATAAAGCATCATCTTGTATTTTAAAAGTTTAAGCCTTAAACGATTTATAAGGGTAAATTAATAATGTAAAGTTACAACGGATTTTTTCTGCATCAGAATTGGCACAAACAGCGAATAATATGAGTTGATTTTATATTAACTAAGTAAAAAGTAACATTTGTTAAACTGGGTACTGGAGGAAGGGAGAGGGTGTGTTGTGTCAAGAGTTTGGAATAAAGTGGTTTTCTAGCTATACCTGAGGAAAAGAGAATTTGAAGTAATGAAGGAACCAACAATAACAGTAGTAACATATGCTGCAACAGCTGTAGGTGAGGAAAGGAGACTGCATAGGTGAGGGAAAGGGGAATGCTGATGGGAAATACCTTTCCTAACACATTCTCCTTCCCTAGCCCTTAACTTCAGTCCTGTCTCTCAACTATAACACAACAGTGTTATGGTACTAACCTTTGAATGGAATGACTGGATGAATTCCCCCACCCCCGACCCCACCCCCAGATTTTCAGATTCAACTGCATGGTGGTGGAAAATCAGCAGTCCTACTATAGATAGTAGAAGTGATGCAAGACAGGCACTCAGTATACTTACCTTTCCCTATCACAGAATGATTTAACAACATTCATGGAACCCTGCTATAATTTACTTGGTTCCTTTCCAGTTAAGATTGTTTCACTGCTACTGCTACTGCTAGTTTCTTCTCATTCTAGACATCTGTCTTCCATGCATCTCTATGCATCTTTCAATCGAACTCCAACATAATTAGTGTGACCCTTAGGCAGAGGTGCAGAATGGAGGTGTTCAAGCACAGTCATAGGATTAATGTATTTAACATTTACTGCACATTTATTATGTACATCCTATGGGTCCCGGGAATATAATACTGAGCCAAAGAGACATGATCCCTGCCCTTATGAGGCTTATAATTTGGTAAAGAAGAAAGAAATTAAAGATATAATCTATAAATAAACATAAATGAAGAACTCTGAAAAATGCATACAAAGGAAAAGTATTTATAATTTCTCTTGTCTGAGTATAAAAATATTGGTCAGTCTTGGGACTTAGAGTTAAAAATTAGAGTCTAACGATAATAACAAAACCTAAATAAGATTAAATTTTTAGTCTAGATTCTGAAAATAAATTCATCTGTTAGAGCAACTATTTACTATAGTAGAATATCTAAAAGAAATGCTAGCTGTTATAAAGTTATTCTGATAGAGTTGTTAAGCTCATGCTAGGGGGTATTTTATTTGAAAAATATTGCTTTCTTTGAGTATTCTTTTTATTCTTAATATTTTAAATATGTTATTATAGCACAAGAGGAAATTTTTCACATATAGATTCATGTAAAGTTCGCTTTCTTAATATTACTCAGCTTGATTAAATGTACAAGTCTAGTGTGCAGAAGTATAACATTTGTGCCTAATGGATTATGATTGCTAACCCCTGAAAGGGTGAAGTGATTTAGGTGTGCAAAACCTTTGCTCACTATAGAGTCTCTCTTTTCCTCAGGGCGACCAGGGCTGACCTAGTTTGGTTATAACCATTAACTGCCAGGAGTGTGTAGTTAAGTGTGTAGTTAGTACTCAATGACTGAAGAGAAGGCTTCTATTGGTATGGCGCATCTTGTGGCAGACCCTGAAACTTTCTGTTCACTCAGAGGTCAGGCTGGCCTTCAGACAGTTTTGATGTGCAAAGACCCATTTCTGGGAGATTATCAGAAACAGACCTGCACTATAGACATGGCCTTGGAAAAAAGCATCATGTGCTATGTTATGGGAGGAGACCTGAACGCTGATAGGTACAGACAGTATAGACAAATTTACTGTGGGCAGATTTATTCTGGATCTTCACATTTATTCTTTTTATTTTTCATTTTTAAATATATTTTATTGATTTTTTTACAGAGAGGAGGAGAGAGGGATAGAGAGCTAGAAACGTCAATGAGAGAGAAACATCGAACAGCTGCCTCTCGCACACCCCCTACCAGGGATGTGCCCGCAACCCAGGTACATGCCCTTGACCGGAATGGAACCCGGGACCTTTCGGTCCGCAGACCGACACTCTACCACTGAGCCAAACCGGTTTTGGCCAAATTTATTCTTAAATGTATTAGATAAAAATGCAATTTTTATATCTTTGCATTTAGATGAGAAAAATTGTACATGTTCAGGTGAGAGAACAAAATTATTTATTTTTATTTCCTTTTCATTTAAATTGCCTACCTTCTAGTTCAGTGGCTGTTCTTGTGACTAGTTCTTAGCTGTTTCATCAGTTCTCGTGCTCCCAGGGCATGATCTGTTCCTCGGTGTTTGGAAAATAAGTTTCTCCTTCATTAATATTAATCAGTGTACTATGGGTTGAATGGCAATTTCTATTTTCCTCTGAAGCATCATATAACTTTGGTCAGTAAAATGATCAATTCTTCTAGTATGTTTTCCCAAGTAATTGATGATTTTTAAAAATCAGAAAGAAAAAAGTGAACCATTTTTCCCTCTGCTTTAATACCATATCCTTTTGTCCCTTTTTTCAAAAGTGTGCCTGGTAAAGAGGATAATGCAGACACTGACCAAGAGAAAAAAGAAGAAAAGGGTATTTCAGAAAGAGAAAACAATGAATTAGACATGGTAAGTCTGGAAAAATGAACTTGCAAATTTTCGAATCTGAATTAGGTTGTCCTTGGCTAGACTAGCTTATGTGTGGAAAAGAGAGGTGGTTATCATGCATCCATTTTAAACTGTGCGTGTGTGTGTTTTTAGAACCTCTTTTGTTTAGATACATGAACTATCAATATTGTCAACTCTCATTTTGGTGCCTTATGAAAACATTGTGTGTGGGGAGATAGAATACCATGAGAGATGAAGTACTCTTTGGTTTAGCACAAAGTTGTTATGTAAATAACCTTAAAATCGTGGAATGATTTTTGAACTAAGGAAAAGTGAAATTTTTGTACTTTTGCCCTTTGTATTCCCATAATCTCTCTTAATGAGGTAATCAGTTTGCTTTGCCATATTGTGGTCACAAACCACATTTTAGGAAGAAAATCAAGAAGTGAGTGACCATGAGGATGAGGAAGAGGAGGAGGAGGAAGAAGATGATGACATCGAAGGGGGTGAAAGCTCTGATGAATCAGATTCTGAGTCAGATGAAAAAGGTACTTGCCTTTTGGTACAAGGACAAAAATTCATTTGGGAATTTGATTAAAACATGACAAAAAAGTCTTAATTTTCTCAACTTCATTCTTGATGAAACAGCTTTTATGATCATTGGCCTATGTATGCCCTTCAAGGTCATGCTTCTTCCCTTATTGGATTTAGTCATTGTGTGATTTCCATCCTTATTTAGTACAAATATGTCTGTTGTCCCTGATCAATGTGAACACTTTTTGTCTTGTTCACCAGTTTTAATTTTATCTAAAACATGTTTTTTATAACTGCTAACTGGATATGTGGATATCATGGTTTTTATACTCTTGCTTGAATGATAGAATTATGATACATTGGTCTATCCCAGCATGTTTATTTTCTTCTTCTATAAATAGCCAATTATCAAGCAGACTTAGCAAACATTACTTGTGAAATTGCAATCAAGCAAAAGCTGATTGATGAACTAGAAAATAGCCAGAAAAGACTGCAGACACTGAAAAAGCAATATGAAGAGAAGCTAATGATGTTACAACATAAAATTCGGGACACACAGCTTGAAAGAGACCAGGTGCTTCAAAACTTAGGTAAGAATTGTCTCTAATTCAAATTAAAGTTCAAACTAAGTCATCAAAATAGATTTTTTTTTATCATCTCTTCCTTTAGAAAAAAAAATTATATTAGAAGCAACATTAAATATCAATGTTTCTCTTAAGTAAAATATTTTTTATTTTATTTCCCTTTGGTACCTGTCTAGGCTACTTAGTTATTTTGTCTGGCATCATGATTAATTGTTTTAATGTCTTTGATTTATGCTGGAAACATTTTATAAATTAAAATGCCTTCAGTAATTATTAAACAAGCAAAGAGTAGATAATAAAAGAGAAAGTGATTCAGAGACACCCTGGTTTGAGTTTGGGAGGATGTTCTCCTCGAAGGTCATGAGTTGTAAATCTGTGAAATAAAAACCTGCGACACAGATTCAGGTATCCTTTGATCATTTAGGCTCAGTGGAATCTTACTCAGAAGAAAAGGCCAAAAAAGTGAGATCTGAATATGAAAAGAAGCTCCAAGCCATGAATAAAGAATTGCAGAGACTTCAGACAGCCCAGAAAGAGCATGCAAGACTGCTTAAAAACCAGTCTCAATATGAAAAACAATTGAAGAAATTGCAGCAGGATGTGATGGAAATGAAAAAAACAAAGGTATTGATTCTATTTTCCATTAAAGTCTGATGCTGAAGATGCTTTTGTCATTTGGGACAAAAATATGATTGTGGTTCTTTCCATATTCGATAAAAGTTAACTATGTTTTCCAAATGATGCACTTCGGTGGGCAATTAGAAGTTGTTTCCTGTTTTCATCCATTATCAGGGCCTCTCTTCAGAGTAGCTGAAAAGCGTGTGGTCAACATGGCTTCTGAGACCTTGATGGTATTTCTCTTCTTAAAACCCTTACACAAGGTTAACAAGAATATAAAATATTTCAAACAAAAAAGCATAGATGATAATACAATGAACGCTATACCTAATATCCTCGTTTAAGATATTAAATATTAACGATTTACACAAAGCTTTCTTTATATTAAGTTCCTGATCATATTCTTCTTTCTTTGAGAGGTAACAACTATCTTGAATTTGATGTTTATCACTCCCATACATAGAAAAGTTCAAATTGCCGAAACTGGTTTGGCTCAGCGGTAGAGCATCGGTCTGCGGACTGAAAGGTCCCAGGTTCGATTCCGGTCAAGGGCATGTACGTTGGTTGGGGGCATATCCCCAGTAGGGGGTGTGCAAGAGGCAGCTGTTTCTCTCTCATCGACGTTTCTAGCTCTCTATCTCTCTCTCTTCCTCTCTATAAAAAAATCAATAAAATATATTTAAAAAGAAAAAAATGAAAAGTACAAATTGTCTTCCCTGACTGAAGAGAATATTTGAATCCTGATCTGTTTACCTGCTTTAGTTGTGGGATCAGTTATTTACATTTAGCATACCAATTAATGTTGTTTCCTTAAAATAGCAAATGTGGAAATGGTTTAGGAAGTAGGTTATTATGTTGTGTATTTGCTGACAACAGTAGCTAAAAGTATTGGGTGCTTGCTATATGCCAGACACGGTTATAAACACTGCACAGCTATTGACTCATTGAATTGTCTTAACTGTTCAGTGCCATAGAACTATTATATTATCTCCATTTTGTATGAGAGAAAGCCAAAACCTAAAGAGATTAAGTAACTCGCTCAAGGTGACAAAGCACCTGGTAATAAGTATCAAAAATTCATTCCTATAGCGACTGAACCCTGAATACTAGCATAAGCAATATGATAGAAACATATTACAAACGTATTAGAAATAGAAATGTATTTCACTAAAATAAGAACTGACCATTTGAAATGAAGCAAAACTTCACATTTCCATGTTAAATTTCTGAATTCTCAGTAATTCATTCCACTCATGTGGTTTATTTAGTGAATGTTGTGATAAGGTAATTCCAATAGATATATTTACCTTTTTTTTTTTTTTTTTAGGTTCGCCTAATGAAACAAATGAAAGAGGAACAAGAAAAAGCCAGATTGACAGAGTCTAGAAGAAACAGAGAGATTGCTCAATTGAAAAAAGACCAACGTAAAAGAGATGTGAGTGGCCTTCCTTATGTATGAATTTTGTGCATGGGACATCATTATTTAATAGATGAAGAAAAGTTTCTGATAATTATAACTATTAAGGACAGGCTAAGGACAATAAACACTAGTTTTATGTGATGTATATTATATAGTATGTGAATTATAGTTTAATATAAAAGTTTATGAAAAATACTATAATATTATTATAAATTTTATTGAAGGCTTATTTCCTACATGATGAGAAGGAAGAAAAATGTCAAAGAACGACTGGTTATCTCTAGAGAGATCCGGGAACTATTATATAAGAGAGCAATTTTAGGATGGCTCTAAAGATAGTTTCATCAGTACAGATTCTTTGAAAAGTTCTTGGAATGACAACCAGGTTTTACTGGAAGAGACCTTTAAGATATATAAAAATGTTCATATTCTTCGACTCAAGAATTCTACTTCCTTGAACTAAGGCTAAGAAAATATTCTAAAATAAGAAAAATTGCTGTGTGTTAACATCTTCATTTTAAGGATATTTATAATAGTGAAAAAGGTAAAAACAAGCAAGATGCTAACAGTAGAAGGAATATATAAATAAATTATAGCTCATCTAATTAGTAGAAGGAATATATAAATAAATTATAGCTCATCTAATTAATAGGTTATTAGTCATCCATTAATAATTAGAGTTTGGAAAACACATAGTAGTAAAATGAAAAATAACTGTGATTTAACATTGTGTAAAATAACATTTCATATATACATGCCTGATTCAAATCAGGGAAAATTTTGAAGGTTATATCCCAACATGCTAACTGTAGTTGTATTAGGGTTATAGGTTTAGTTGATTGGGTTTTTATTCTTTCCAAAATTTTTGGCAATATAGTTATTTTATTTATGGAATTTTTCCTTAAAAGAAGAGGTTATCACCTTCTTTCCCCTATTGTTGGTTAGTTTCAACCTTTGGTCATTTTTCTCTCTCTCAACATTTTCTAAGTCTTCGCTGGAGAAAACTGAGCATATAGCATATTTCAGAAAATAGAAATCTACTTTGGGACGTAAAATGAAACTTAAGGAGGTAGAGAAAAAGTAATGAGGTTGAAAAGTAGATATTTTAGCCAGGTGATTCCCATAATTATAGTTTTATTTATCTCATTTATTTCTTTTTTTCTAACATATCAATGGATTTTAATAATCAGTATACTTTGTCACTTTCAATTCCTGGGCATTTTAGAACTTGTTTATACTATTATTTTATTACTAAAATCAAGTAGAAGTGCATGTTCATATTTTGCCTATTCTTTGTTACCCTATCTTAAAAAAAAAAAAAAGATTGAGTTAAATTCACTCTTTTAAAATGTACAATTCAAGTTTTAAATATATTCACAAAAATTTGCAACAACCACTACCGTCTAATTCCAGAACATTTTGTCACTTCAAAAAGAAACTTATACCCATTTTTAGAGTCATTTCCATTCTACCCTCTTCATTGCCCCTCATAACCACTGATCCACTTTATTATCCTGATGGTTTGTCTGCTTAGGACATTTCATCTAAATGGTATAATGCAATATGTAGCCTTTTGTCTCTGGCTTTCATTTAGCATGATGTTTTCAAGGTTCATTCCTGGTAAGTATGTATTAGTAGTTCATTTCTTTTCATGGCTGTATGGATAGAGCACATTTTGTTTACCCATTCCTCAACTGACAGACCTGCGTGTTATTTACACTTTTTGACTATTTATTTTGTTTTTCATGAAAAATTTTGGATGTCAGGAACAGTTGCCTTCCAATATATTATATGTTATTTATTTATTACCAATTCATATTAGATAGAGATCAGTATTGAACAATTAACTCTTGGGAATATTATCTGCCACAAATGATCATAAATGATATACTATCTTACCTAATAATAGACAAGCATATAAACTGACTGGGCCTCTGCTAACCCACCAGCCAATCAGGAGCAATATGCAAATTAACCCAACAAATATGGTAGTTAATTTGCATACTCAACTGCTGAGTGACAGAGGCAGTATGCACTCCCCCCAACCTCCACCCTTGGTGGTCTCTCAGGGTCTTTGGCAGCATGGGAAGGAAGGGCCTGAGCAGAAAGGGGCAGGGCCAGCAGTCAGGGAAAGGAAAGCCCATTCTAGCACGAATCTTTTTGCATCAGGCTTCTAGTCCTATTATATAGCTGTGAGGCTGGCTAATCACATACAAAACTAACATTCAAACTCCTTCCTTTTTTTTTGCTGCTTTGTGTATATGTTGACCCACTTTCTAAATTCTTTCTTGTCCTATTAACCTCTGTACCTTTAGAGAATCAAGTAAGTACATTTATACACCACGCAAAAAATATAAATGAGCTTGAAATTTGACTTTTAATAGGAAGAAATGTAATGTAATAATAAGTTTCAAACTATATGTAAATTTTAACTTCGGGTAATTTATTCATTTAAAGAAGATTTATTAACTTTGCTTCTATGTCAATCATTATTATAGTCAATAAAATATGCTTTGGTTAAGATAAAATCCTTTTCTCTAAAAATTCTCAGCTGATGGCATAAGAATATGCTTAAGCATGAGATGAATGGCCTGTTTAAATTTGGAATCCAAAACATGAAGAATTAGTTTTTATATCAAAAATTTATGTCTTAGAAGGAATGTTTTTGATCAAGTTTAATTCCTAAACTTTACTCAAGATCATAGAGTTGAATAAATGACAGAACTAGAATTAGGGCCTATATTTTTTTAACCCAACATTCTTCCCTAAATTATAGTCTCATGAAATGGCTTAAAGTAATCCATAATTAATTGTCTTTATCGTATAAAGTATCTAGAAACAAATTGATAGGCAATACTAACATGTTTCATTATCCATTTACTTTACCCAACATTTTTAAAAGTTATTATACAGTGCTAATCCAATTCATTTATAGTCTCCCCATATTGAAAACAGAGTTTGGAATTACTGTATATATTGTAAGGTACATCTATTGAAACTGGCCTAACCTGTGTTTCTTCTTGTGTGTGCCTCAGCCAGCAAAACAAAATGTCTAACTAAAAGGAAATGGGATTATTTGTGAGGCATTTAGAAAAGTACTTGTGTATAGTAAGCACTATTTGAGTGTTTGTTAACTAAAAGTATGTGTCACAGAGATAGCCTTTTGGAGAGAGATGGCTATATTAATATGCATTTGTGTTTTTTGGAATAAAATACCTTTATCTGCAATAACGGATGCAAGGTTGTTGTTAGCTCATATTTTGCTAAGAACTCATAGTTTCCAGCAGGATGGGGAATATATTAAAGTAGGAGGAGAAAGTATTGTATTTTCCAGTTTGCTATTTTAACTTACTCAATATTCTTTTATAGCATCAACTTAGACTTCTGGAAGCCCAAAAAAGAAACCAAGAAGTGGTTCTGCGTCGCAAAACTGAAGAGGCAAGTTAGCCATTCAGAGGAAACATTCTGGCTTTGAGATGAATGATGTATTTCTATCGATGAAGGGAATGAGTCCGTCTCTGTCGCTATTTCAGGTTACAGCTCTCCGTCGGCAAGTAAGGCCCATGTCGGATAAAGTGGCTGGGAAGGTCACGCGGAAGCTGAGCTCCTCCGACACCCCCGTTCCGGACACAGGTTCCAGTGCAGCTGCTGCAGAAACAGATGCGTCAAGGGCAGGAGCTCAGCAGAAAATGAGAATTCCTGTGGCAAGAGTCCAGGCCTTACCCACGCCCGCAACCAATGGAACAAGGTCAACACGATTCTTCTGTTCCTCCTAACAGAATCTGGGTGGCATTCTTACTGAATGTTGGACTTAAATGAGAAACAGCATATTATGTGCTAGGGCATAATCCAATAAGCACACAAGTAATTATGTTTGTCTGTTTATATATGATTATAGAAAAATATATCAGAGAAAAGGGTTGACCGGCCGGGTGTTTACTTCCAAGACGGCACGCATGAAGTGGCAGCTACTTGAACGCAGAGTCACGGACATCATCATGCAGAAGATGACGATTTCCAACATGGAGGCTGACATGAATAGGCTTCTCAAGGTGTGCAAAATAGAAAGCAGATATGCTCTCCCTTAGCTGGCTGTGAAGTTTCAGTTTTTCAAGTTTTTTTCCCTGAGTAAATGTAATGCTTACTAAGGATTTTCCCCCTAGTGAGTTTTGATTGCATTGTGTATGAATAAATGAACATCCTTTTTTTTTTTTTTAATTGTGGTAAGAACAGATGACATGAGATCTGTACTCAGCACACTTTAAATGTATAGCATAGTATTGTTAACTATAAGCACAAGGTTGTACAGCAGATCTCTAGAACTTACTCGTTTTCTGTAATTGAAACCTCACACCCATTGAATAGCAACTCCCCGTTTCCCTCTTCCCCCAGCCCCTGATAACCACCATTCTACTTCCTGGTTCTAAGAGTTTGACTCTTTTACGCACATCACATCAGTGGAACCCTTCGGTACTTGTCCTTCTGTGACTCGCTTATTTCACTTAGCAACATGTCCAAGATGAGCATAATGTCTTAGAACCCAACTGTTTCCTCCATAGCAACGGGAAGAACTCACAAAAAGAAGAGAGAAGCTTTCCAGAAGAAGGGAAAAGATAGTCAAGGAGAGTGGAGAGGGAGATAAAAATGTGGCCAACATCAATGAGGAGATGGAGTCACTAACTGCGAATATAGATTACATCAACGACAGCATTTCTGATTGTCAAGCCAACATCATGCAGATGGAAGAAGCAAAGGTTTGTAATTAAAAAAAAAAATGTGCAATGCCTTACTACAAAGTATTTTTTATTATTAAAAGCACTTTTAATTTTTATGTGAAGGAATTTTTAAAATTATTTAATATTCTTCTTAGGTTTTGTATATATACCACTCCCTGCCTGCTCTCTAGCTATCTCTGCTCATTTTGTATTATTTATTACTTATAAAAGACATATATCATTTATTAATCTACCTTGTGCCTCATCTTTTCAACTAGACTGTATATTTTTGGTGTGGGGATTATAGTTTACACTATTCTGAGGAGTCCGGTTAGTTAACCTAATGAAGCAATAGGCTTTTGCCTTCTGTTTAAATACAGTTAGCTCAAAGTAATGTTACATCATCTGCTGGTTTGATGTAGGAAGAAGGAGAAACCCTGGATGTCACCGCAGTCATTAATGCTTGCACACTTACGGAAGCGCGGTACCTGTTAGGTCACTTCTTGTCAATGGGCATCAATAAGGTAAGATCAACACTGTTATTGAAAAACCAAGTTTTGATTAATCTCATTGTAGTTTTTATATCTTTCTCCAGTGATCGCCTCCCTTTGTGATAAAGAAAAAGGTTCTTTTTAATTAGAAAATATTCTTTTTATCTTTTATTTATTTATTTTTAAAATATATTTTATTGATTTCAGAGAGGAAGGGAGAAGGAGAGAGAGAGAAACATCAATGAGAGAGACACATTGATCGGCTGCCTCCTGCACGCCCAGGCACTGGGGATCAAGCCCAAAACCTGGGCATGTGCTCTGACTGGGAATTGAACCAGAGACCTCTTGGTCCATGGGACAACACTCAATCCATTGAGCTATATCAGCTGGGCCCTTTTACCTGTTTTTTTTTTTTTTTAGAGTTAAGAAGCATCAGCAATATTTAGAGTTAAGAAGCATCAGCAATATCCACATATTGTGTTTGTATATTAGAACAGATAAACAACATAGGGAATAATTAATTCCTCTTTTGCTTTAACAAAGGAAGAATGAAAAGAAAATCTCTTAGGTTGCATACAAATTTGGTATCTTACCTTTGGTTCAATACTGATTCTTTACAGCTCAAAAACATAAAATTTGAAAGGAAAAAAAAATGTAGTTTCCTTTCCATCTTCTTTGAATAAGAATGCATTCATGTCACCTGTAAGAAACTTCTGCCTAAATGTTGAAGGTGATAGTGATTTCTGACTCATTTTACCCCCTCATGTTGTGGTTGTGCCTAGAGCCTTTATGCTATGTTTTCTTAATTAATTTTCACTAGTGCTAGGAAGTAGGTATTATTCATATAACTTTACAGATGAGAAAAATGAGAATCAGGAAGATAAGGTAACCTGTTCAAGGGCACGAAGCTAGTAAGTAATGAATGATGAATCAAGGTAAGGTCTTTTATGATGTCAAAATCCATATGCACATGCTATTTGCTTCAGATCTTTGTTTGGTGGATTTTTTGTATGACCCAACATAGTTTTATTTATATTTTTGTATAACCTAACATAATTTTATTTTTGGTGGTGTTACAGGGTCTCCAGGCTGCCCAGAAAGAGTCTCAAATTAAAGTACTTGAAGGTCGGCTTAAGCAAACAGAAATAACCAGTGCGACACAAAATCAACTCTTATTCCACATGTTGAAAGAGAAAGCAGAGTTAAATCCTGAGCTGGATGCTTTACTGGGCCATGCTTTACAAGGTAATCTAACTAAATTTTAGTTAAATAATTGCATGGAAGCTTTGCTCTTTTGAGTATGCTATACTATACTCTTTCTCCTAGAGTTTGACTGAATAGATGCTATATTACTTATATTTTTATTTTATTAGGTACTCCTTCTTTAATTTGCATGTATAAATTTGGGGGGATGTAATTCATTATTGTCATCCCAAGAAATGATTACCAACTTACCAGTAAAAAGGCTTACTTAACCTTATTAAGGAGTTAGTTTTCATGGATATAGAAGAATAACCAAGTTTCTGAATTGGTTATTTAAATTATTTATAATATTAGCCAACTGTCATTACTTGACTCTGCATATCTAACTGCCTTAAAAAATTAATGTTTTTGTTATGGCATCTATTCTACATATCTTACAAATGGTACCATAATCTTGTTTTATGTGGGAGTTTTTAACATTGGATCCGTTTTGATTGGAGTATTGCTTTTTGTTTCCTTTTTGCTATTATTTACACAGATCTAGATAGCGTACCTTTAGGTAAGTATGTTTAGCTTTCTGTGTACCCTACAAGCTGCATGAATTACTAATTGTTCATGTGCACTAATTGTGGTACATCTTATTTTTTAAATGTATATTGGCAACCACTGTTTTGCATGATCCTTTTTGAAATGTATCCACAACCACAAACATACTAAGTCTTTTGTCTTTCTCATACATGCTTGATTTTAAAATTCTTAAAATGTTTCAAGAAGTATGCTTTAGTGAACTTTTTTCTTTTATTACTTGAACTGCAATTGTGGCTCCCGTTTGTAAGCACTTTTTTTTCCTCTTTCTTGTAAAAGGCAAAAAAAAAAGGAGTATATATTTCTTATAATTTTTAAATATATCTATTAACTTACATCTGTTGTTTTAATACCATAAATAACTTCCTTTGATATATATCTTTGGTGTATATTTATCTTTAGTATATGTTTGTTAGATTCTCAGCTATGTTTTGTAAAATTAAGCACTTATACTTTAATATTGTAAATTAAATAAAGCTACTCAAGCATCTTATATGAACAAATAAAAACAGTATTTAAGATCATAACATTTTTAAGTTAGAAGAAGCGTTAGTGATTATTGTGTATAGAGATTTTCAGCCTTTTTCTGTTGCCACTACAGTATTCACATGAACTATCCCCACCTCAGTATTATTTCTACTCCTCTTGGTGATCATACACATGAAGAACCAGGAATATAGGGCAATTTTATTACTTGCAATTTTTCTGAATCCTTATTTTGGAGCAGTTTTTATTTAATCAAAATTATTTCACAACCTGGTCTGAACTTTCTTTTTTCTAATCATACAGTTGTCCAAGTTTTTAAAATGCTTTTTACTTTAAGAAGAGTAATGTAACCAAAAGATTAAATATAATTACCTCTCTGTGTCACTAGAATAAACATACTCTATGAATCTGAATTTATTTCATTATTTATTTGAATATCTTTTTATTTATTTAAGAGAGGAAGGGAGAAGGAGAGAGAGATAGAAACATCAATGATGAGAGAGAATTATTGAGCAGCTGCCTCGAGCCTGAAACCCATACTAGGAATCGAACTGTGACTTCCTGGTTCATAGGTGGATGCTCAACTATTGAGCCATGCTGAATTTATTTAAAATAATGTCACACAAATAAAATACGTGAGCTATATGATTTTTATAATGTTTATACTTCATGATAATCTCAAAATAGCATTTCTTTTATATCAGCTGCAAAATATAGGTATGGAAAGGCTAGTACTTTTATACTGCTCATACTATAACAAATAAAAGTTAAAAAAAAAAAAAAGTAGGATTGGTTATATCCTAACCAAGTTTCTGGATTATAACCAGAAATTTGCAATTTCATGTGTTATCAGCACATTTCTTTTCCTCCTTCTATTCTTTTTTCTCTTCCTTCTTCTTTTTCTTAGTTGGCTCAACTTATAGCAATAAGTAAATTCTCATTTAAGTCCCTGATCTCTTTCACTTTGGAAGAAAAATGCTATGCCCTCTTTGATATCCTTTCGTGCTGAAAATGGTAAGCTGCTAATTTCATGAGCAGTGTTACTTTCTCACAACTTTCAATTATCCGTAGCTGGAAGAAGGGTCAGAAGCAGAGAGCTGGAACTCATTTGACTGATGTAGCTTATGTCTTAATTGCAGAAATTTGCCCCCGGTATCAGGGCCATACATATAGCCCAGAGGTGCTTGGAGAAAAAGTATAAAAGAAAAAAAAAAAAGAAGTGAAATTCACATAAGCTGGGCAGCCATACATACATTGCTAAAAACAAAACCACATTAGCACCAATGTTATTTCAAGTATTATGTGTAGTGCTGGGATTCAAAGATATATAAGACACAAAATTTTGCCCTTGTAATCTTGATATTAAGGTTGATAGATAGTGACAGATTTTGATATATTGAGGGCAGTGATTAAAGTATATTCAGTATGGGGATTATGAGAGCACAGAATGGGTCCACCCAACAGGAATGGAGGAGTCCATGAAGGCTTTCAAGAGGAGATGACATTTGAGCTGAATCATAAAGAAGGAAAGAGAGTTAGCCAAGTGGAAGAAAAAGAATTAGCCAGGCACAAGACAAGGTGGAAGGGGGGCCTGAACAGAGTGAATCTAGGCAATGACTCAGTGAAAGCATAAGTTAACCCCCATATTGTGTGCACAAGGTGTTCGAGCAGATTGGTACCCTAGAGCCGTGATCAGCAAACTGCTGACTAATGAGTTTGCTAACACTGCCCTAGAGCAACAAGTACATGGCACAGAATGAGGGAACAAGACTAGAGGGTGGGCAAGGGCTAGCACTTCATACTGACAGGCTTATAGTTTTTGAAGAACACCTTTATTTTCCCTTCTTTTTTCTCTACCTACATTAGTATCCCGACTTTATATATTTGCTGGAAGACTCATGGGGCTCAGAGTATTGTATCTACAGCAAAAATTCATGAGAATAGGAAGGATACACAAAGGAGTCCATGTCCTGGCTTCCTTATGTTTCACACTCCCACGAGGGATTGCACAGAATGTCCTTTTCTCCCTGGAATGAAAGTGCAGCAACATTTTGTGATGTTTATACTCAGGGAAATCCGTTAGAGTCAGCACATGAGGTTTTTACTGGGGACTCTCACACAGATACCCTCTGCCCAGAATATACCCGGATCCCAGACTCTCAGAGGAAAGCAGGAGTTTGGCAGAAGCCAGATTGTTTGTACAAATTCTAGGTACAATGAGCCACTCTCATTAGTTCATTGGTGACTGGGGCCCCTTGCCGAGGCTCTTTCCCAGCCTTACAAAGGGTTCAGCATTCTGGACAAAGGGGCTGTGCGTAGATGATTAAAGAGTCTGGAGACTAAAGATAATTTTGGAAGGCATTTGGGGCCAGAGGACTTCAGACTCTCCTCCTTCACTCAGGACCCTGCTTTTATTCACATGATTTATCCTAAGGTGAGGTGGAAATATACACTTCAAAGGGTAAGGTATCAAAGGTTATTGTCAGTTTGGGGAATAGCCTACTGTTATTTGGCCAACAGGAGGCAATAAAAATGCCCTCAGCTTTCTGTCAGCATATGTTTATACTCTTCAGTGTTAGGGGAAGTGCTGTATATCCGTTTCCAACAGGTAAATTACATTTGTGGCTCACCCTTGTTGAGCCCACCAAGTCCCGTCAACCTTTTGAAGAAACTCTTATAATTATTACATGCTGGAATTGGTTCCCAGCAGCCCCTCTGCCAGCCAAGTTTTCAGATGCCAAAGTTCGACTTTACAAGCAGGCCTGTCTAAGGATAGCAGTCTCTGGGTTGCCAGTCTAATTCTTTTCTGTACACTACTTTTAAAAAAAGATTTATTAATTTTAGAGAGTGGAAGGGAGAAGGAGAGAGAAATTGAACATTAATTAGAGAGAAACATTGATTGGCTGCCTCCTGCATGTCCCCACTGGGGATCAAGCCCTCAACCCAGGCATGTTCCCTGACCAGAAATTGAACCAGAGACCTTCTGGTGCATGGGACGGTGCTCAACCACTAAGCAACACCAACTGGCTTTTTATTATTTTATTACTAGAGGCCTTGTATGTGAAATTTGTGTATGGGGTGGGGAGTCACTCAGCCCAGCCTGTACCCTCTCTAATCTGGGATCCCCTGGGGGATGTCCAACTGCCAGACATCTAAACTGGCAGTCAGACATCCCTCTCACAATCTGGGACCGCTGGCTCCTAACCGCTCGCCTGCCTGCCTTCCTGATCACACCTAACAGCCTCTGCCTGCTGGTCTGATGCCCCAGACTGCTCCCCTGCTGGCCTGATTGTCCCTATCTGCCCTCTCCTGCCAGCCTGATCTCCCCTAACTGCCCTCCCCCGCTGGCCTGATTGCCCCTAACCGCCTCTGCCTCAGCCCCTGCCATCATAGCTTTGTCCAGATAGACATCTGGAAGATGTTCAATCTAATTAGCATATTACCCTTTCATTAGTATAGATTTTTTAAAATATATTTTTATTGATTTCATAGAGGGAGGAAGATGGAGATATAGAAACATCAATGATGAGAGAGAATCATCTATTGGCTGCCTCCTGCATACCCCACACTGGGGATGGAGCCCACAACCTGGACATGTGCCCTGACCTGGAATTGAACTATGATCTCCTGGTTCAGGTCAATGCTCAACCACTGAGCCATGTTGGCTGGGCTGGGGCTGTTTTATATAACTTTAAAAAAAAATAGCTTAAAAAAACTTCACTAGTTCACTTCCAGTGAAAAGAGATTGTGCAACTGTGTATTACATGAATGAACTTTAAGGCATTCAGGAGTTATAAATCTCTGCCCGTAGCTTTAGTTCCATGGTGATGGGAAAAGAAGCTGGCATTGGGCAGGATCGATGTTCTGGGAGTTGAGAGTGTGACAGTGAGGTGACGGTGTGTCCTGCAGCTCAGGTGACTGTAGTGCTCAAACCAAGCTCAGTCCGGAAGAGGGGTCTGATTTGGTGACTGAATGGGTAGCGCCTCTAACCTCTGGCTATGTTGGTTATGTCAAAATATAATTATCTCTAGATTAGGCATACCTGCATAGGCAGGAACTAAGTAGTTTTTACCAAGCACTCATATGATATTTACCATCCTAACTGATTTCTCCCTACAAGAATACTAGACAATCTTAGTCCACTTTTATACATGGGAAAATAAAAGCTAGTTTGTCATTTCTTTTAACCCCATTTTCTATGTTATCAATTAATTCAGTCACCTTAGTACTCAAGAAACCTGTTGAGAAGCAGGTCCTTGAACCTTCCTCTAACGGTGAGCTTTGAGATACACATTGCCTTCAATACCACCGTTTTCTCCACTTCAGAAAGTAAACTCCCTTGTATGAGTCCCAGATGGGCTCTTTTTTATTTTTTAATATTTTTATTGGTTTCAGAGAAGAAGGGAGGGGGAGAGAGAGATAGAAACATCAATGATGCGAATCATTGATTGGCTGCCTCCTTTACACCCACACTGGGGATTGAGCCCACAACCTGGGCATGTGCCCTGACTGGGAATGGAACTGTGGCCTCCTGGTTCATAGGTCAGCACTCTTCCACTGAGCCACACTGGCCGGGTGATGGGCTCCTTTTCAGATAATACTATCAAGTATCAAGTATAACTGAATATTCTATTCTATAATACCTGCTAAAAGAAAGAGAACATCAGAGAAAGAGATTAGTTTACTTACCTACTTGTATGATATAAAATTAAAAGCTAAGGGGCTGACTCATATATTTTATTAATATATGTTAGTTATAATCCTGTTTTTAGTTTTGTGGAGTGATTTTATAGTACAATGTGTATGTTTTAAAAACCTGAACCTATGTTACGGGTTCACTGACATTTTAAATAGTTCACTTTCAGTGGCCGTTTTATTTACTGCCTTCCTGGTAGTTTTATTTGCTTTTTCTTCTTCTTTTTTTAATAGCCTGCTAGAATTGTTCTGAAATAGCAGTGGTTTATTTGTGTTCACATATGAAACCATTGCATGCAAACCTATTGTTTTTGTCTTTCGTGTACACATGAATGAGCTGCATGCTGATGTATATTCTCTAGGTACCTAAACACACACATACACTTTCTGCTTGAAAACAAAAGTAAAGGGAGCTCATAAGCATTTTCTTTACTCTTATATTTTATTCAGTGGGTTTTCAAAAAATTTGGATGGCATGAGACAAATACATACCATGAAAAAATACATAATATAATTAATTACACATGCTCTTATAAGTATATGATTTCAATTCTATCCTATGAATGTTGTTCTATAGTTTATTAAACTCTGACAGGAGGAAAATTTTCATATACATTTTACTAATTTTCTTTAAACTCTGACACTTCTTTTATAGAGAAAGGGCAAATAATGTTAAAATATTTCCTCTAATTAATTCCCTTTTAATGTGTATGAATTTCATGCACCAGGCCACTAATATAATTACACATGCGCTGATAAGTACATGATTTCCATTATATCCTATGAATGTTGTTCTATGATTTATCAAGCCTGTGGTTTTCCTATTTTGAACATGTTTTCCTCATCCTAGGACATGTAGTCAAAGGATTTTCTTAGAAATGTTTTTCTACATTTCTATTTTGATTCAGTTACTGAAACCAAAGTGCCCATATTGAACCCTTGGGCTGATAGTTATGGTAGTATAGGGATTATACAATTTGATTATCCATTCAAATTGCAACATGGATAATATATTTTGGACATGTTTTTATTTTATAGAAAATGTAGAGGATAGTAGTGATGAGGATGCACCTTTAAACAGCCCAGGATCAGAAGGAAGGTAAGAGAATCTTTGGGAACTTAATAGATTTTAGTTGTTTCTATAATATTTTTAAGACTTTATCTTGATGCTTCAAGTAATTAACCTTATAAAACAAATAATTTTGAATTTTATGGCTGAGTGAATAGCACTGGAAACAGTAATATGGAAACAGAACTCAGTTAAGCTTAACTACCACACATTTTAAAATAAAAATACTGGAATATTTAAGTAAGGAAAATGAAAAACATTTACATTAGTTTATTTTTATTTTAAATACTGTCTTGCTTTGTTTTCCATAGCTAGGCATATATAATTCTTCCCATAGTTGTAAACATAGAGGACATGCAGTTTTGTATAGTAAGTTCCCTTTTAATCTTGTGATTATATATTTGCATATAGCACACTGTCTTCAGACCTGATGAAGCTTTGTGGAGACGTGAAACCTAAAAGCAAGGTAGGGGGATTGGAAATGCTGGGCAAATATTCTTTTTCCTCTGTTCTTCGTCATAACTATTGCATACATCAGAGGCCTCAGGCGTGGCCCTGGATAGGTTACCCAATAGGCATGCTTCTATTAAAGCTTCCATGTATCAGAAAATTAATCCATTATCATATTCCCCTTTGACAAAAGTTCTATTGAAAATTCCTCTCTTGTGAAATTTGCATTTTAATGTATTTGCACACATTTCTCACTAAATATGATTATGGAGAGCAATTTTTTTCCCATTACCCCCTCTCCCCCATATTTCTCCTAAAGGTTTATTCCCCTTTAAGGAAGTTGTGTGTTAATTTGTTAAAGTTGCCTAAATTTCCTAATAATATAGGAGATAGTCACAAATTACTAGAAAATAGTAATTTAAAGCAGTTAGCTAAAGAAGTTGTAGACATGTAGTTGGCATATAAAATAAATCATTTTGATTGATGAGAGATTTTTTTAATTTTAACATGCTGGTATGTTTTTAAGTACTTAATTCTTACTTTGTTTAATTATATCCTGAAGTGGTTTGAAAAATAAGCCAACTCCTAATCATTATCTTGTGTTAAAAGCAAATAGGCTACAACATATATTTGTAACATTTTTCAAAAAATATAAATAATACATGCTGTTAAATGTGTAAAAAACATGTGGAACTTCTTAGATTGAGAGTTGGTAATATTTGATACTAGATGAATTAACTAACCATCTTAAGATGTTTGAAAATAAAAAATTCTTAGTAAATATTTGTTGAATGAATGGATAGAATCAGAACCAGAAAGAATAAAGCAAATGGACAGCACAGATATAAGGCCCCAGTGGTTAGGTAAGGTCAATGAGTAATTTGGCTGGATGTAAAATTATGAGTTGGAGCCATTATGATTGCCTAAAGAGGACGTGCCCAATTAAAGCAAATAGCTAGCACTCAACTCTTGCTCATTTTACCATGATGGAATATTGGCCCAAGTCTATCAGATCCTTTGGTTTTTTAAGAAAAGCCTTGAATATGAATTTTAGGTAAAATTTCCTTATCTTAAAAACATTGGGCAAACAGATCAAAAAATAACTTTAGGCTCTAGGTGTGGTCCTTGTGCCGAATTAGTTTGTGTCTTATTTTTCTAAGTGACTAAGCAGAAGTTACCAACACTCAAAATATTCTAGTGTAGTTTGAATCCATTAAGCAGAGGAGAGAATCTCTTAAGGTAACTTTCATCTTTCAGGCCCTGTGACAGCCTAGTTATTCCTGCTCTTAGGATACCAGAAAATAGCTGTAAAGAGATGGTCTACAGGTCATCTCTTAAAAACCCACTTTTGTTAGGAATTCCCGGCAGTTATTTCCCTCTGCCCTGGTCCCTCGGTTGTTCGGAGAATTGACAGTGTACAAAACTGGCTGCAAGACTTTCTCTTCCTAAATTCTCTGAAGTGCTATCTGCTTTTCCCTTTGAATCGCAAAAATGCCTGGAGAAATCTCAAATCATTTATTTTTCCTCACTGAAACAATGAAGTTGACCTTATATTTTAAATTGGTATGTACCAGCACTCCATGAAGTTGGGGATATAAAGTTGACGGAAAACAGGGTGCCTGCCCTTTAGAGTCTTATAGTCTGGTAGACACAATGCCTATTTAATTCCTTAGTGATAATAGTGACTCTGAGCAATAACAGGGTATTCATTTGGTTTTCAAGAGTACATAAGGAAATGCTTATGGTGAGTTTAGGCTCTAGGGAAACAATCTTTGCCTACCTCACCAGGCTGCCAAAAACTGGTGCAAAAACTGATATTAAATAAAGCATCTCTGCAAGGGGAAAATTTTGAATTTAGTCGAGCTTCCGTAACAGAATTACATTTTGGTTTAATTTCTTTCTTTTTCTTTTTAAATTATATGCCGAGCGACCCGGCCACGAGTGTCAGGATAGCACAGTGATATTGCAAGGCAGATTGCTTCGTGTCGAGCCTTGGCTTTGCCACTTCCTAGCTGTGCGACTTTGGGCAAATTGCTTAGCTTCTCTGTGCTTCACGTGTGACTTAGGATAATAATAGCACATGCTAAGAGAGTAGAGTGTTTAGAACCATGCCTTGTCACACAATACATACAATACAAATGTTGGTTACTATTTGTCTTGTAAAGATCTTACCTGGCTATAGCTCTAGGCTTGTCCCTCTCGTACTGCTACATTTGACACACTTGCTAGGAAAAGACACACCACATGTTTTTGCTTGTTTTGTTTTACCTCTTTCAAACTAATATTAAATCTCTGCCCTCTAATCGCCGTCTGTACAAAAGTTTGCTCCTGATTGCTTTTCCTCCCATTTTTCTGACCAGGCCCGAAGGAGAACCACCACTCAGCTGGAATTGCTGTACGCAGATAGCAGTGAACTAGCTTCAGACACTAGCGCAGGAGATGCTGCCTTGGCTGGCCCTCTCCCAGCTGCTGCAGAAGGGCACGAGAGTGGGATGAATGCAGAGACAAGTACTACTTCTGCTAGGGAAAAAGAACTCCCTCCCCCATCTGGCTTCCCTTCTAAGATAGGCAGCATGTAAGTCTGGCCCGGCTCCACTAACTTCCTTTCTTTTGGCTTTTTCTTTTTTTTTTTAATATGCATGTTGCTGATTTCTTATTTCTATTTTTTTATTTTAATTCATGTGAATAAGATCTCTGGTTTTCAATGTAATTTCTGTTAGGTTATTATCTCACCTAATTTTTTTTGGACATTCCAAATGACTTGAGATGGGAAATGTTCTTTGTTGAATTGCATTATCTTGTCTCTCAGTTTTAAGGTCCTTCTTAGAGGATTATAGTTTTTATAAAGACTGAGTTGTGAGCTGCAGATAAAATTGATTTAGCAACTGCTAAATTAGGTTAATGCTATGCCTATAAAGCCATTATATAAAACAATAACCTGAAAGTACCTTAAATTAGCTCTAAATTATGTGTGTCCTAGTTCTAAGAGCCTGGTCAGGATACTAAACTTTACTGACCTTTTTAAAGAAAAGTGAAATATCACATACAACCATAAAACACTCGGAGCTTTCCTAACTTTTTGCCTTAAAGCACATGACATGTCCGACATGAGTGTTTGCACAAAATATTTGCATTGATATTATTATATTACAGATTTGCAAGAAGACATATTCTCTCTCCCATCTATGTTGATCTGAACAAAAAACAATGATATTCAAAACAAATCTTATTTATAGATTTTTAAAATTATTTTCTGGAGGAAAAACAAAGATTTCCCTATATAGGCCCGTGTGTGTGTGTGTGTGTGTGTGTGTAGACTTTGTTTGTGTTCAATCAATCACTAGTAAAGATTTAAATGATATTTTTCAAATGAACCCTCACATATACTCTGGCAAGTGATTTATGAGATGAATACACGCCAGCACTGAGATATACTTCCCAAAAAGCAGCATACTCCATATGACTCTGCAAATAAAAAATAACAAACTTCCCCCCTTGAATATATCTATTTCCCATAACTTTATGCATTGTGTGAAGATATTTTTGTTGTCTTACATTTAGTAAGCCCATCTGCAACCTTTAGTTCCAAAAGTAATTTTGATGATGACAGAACTTTCTTGCATGTGCTTGAGGCCTATGTAATTAACTATCAGATTTGCTACTACAGATTGCTAACCAGTAGATAGCTTATGGCTTCATTGCTTTTTAATAAGATGATAGTAGCAGAAACACTTTGGGTGAAGGCAGTGAGATAGAAGTGATAGCAAATTTTAGGAACCCATATGTGTTCAGTGTAGTCTGTCAGATGATTAGAGACTTTTGGAACGTCAAGACTAAATCTATGACCTGGAATCCAGATTCAGGTAATACCTTCTTTTTGCCTTTCTTTTTTAAATTTGAAAAATGTATCCTTTGTGACAGGTGGTAGACAATACCTTTTGGAATCTCTCTTTTTGCATGATTTATTTTCATGAATGCAGATGCTTGTGTAATCCTGCACAAGTTTAAGAGCGGGTCTTGTGCTTGTTGCAATAACTTTTATAAACCATTATTCCATGACTTTTATTACATAAACTAGAAGCCCAGTGCAAAAAATTTGTGCACAGGTGGAGTCCCTGGGCCTGGCTGGAGATCAGAGCCTATCGGGGCTGTCTTGTCCAGTCCCAATTGAAGCTGGGCCGGCTGGGGTCTGCCAGATAGGGAGAGTCATGGGAAGAAGGGCCGTGGAGGTTTGCCAGCCAGTGGGGGCGGGGGTGGGGATGGTTGGTTGGCCATGAGAGTTTAGCTGTGGGACCGCACTAAACACTAGGGGGCAGCTCTTGCATTGAGTGTCTGCCCCTTGGTGTTCAGTGCATGCCATAGTGACTGGTTGACCGGTTGTTTTGGTCATTTGGTTGTAATGGTCACTTAGGCTTTTATATATATATATATATATATATAGATTAAATTATTTACTCAAGTGGCCCTTATGATTTAAAGGATGCAGAAGTTTAAAAGTTGATTTTCTCCAATTAGAAAAAAATTTAATTATACCTAATTTTTGTGTTCAAATAGGAGTCATGTAACCCTTTTTGAGGATATTGTTTTATAATTTTTAGTGAATTTGTATTTTTTTATTAATATAACTAGTGAAGAATAGCAAAAATTCATTTTTTTAATTAAAATGTATTACACCATATGAAAAAAATCATAGTCTTACATAACTACTATTCAACATTTAAAATTTATAAGGCAAGAATATGTTAATTACAAACATTTCTGAGTTACAAATTAAGTACTATCGTTAATTTAAATAATTATGCATTTTTTGTGTAACTATGTCTAAATGTAATTCATTAAATCTCATTGTTTCTCATATTCTGATAGTTAATATTTTTGTTCTTACAAAACTGTAATCACAATTTTTCTTCAATTGAAGCAGTTCTAATCAAACTTAAATGCTTATGTTTAAAATAAAATATTTTATTTGGTAATATAATATGGATTTTTTATATTAAAAGATAATGGGTTTGCACATATTTGAAATGGTTGCCAATTTAAAAATTAAATGTATGCTTGTTAAGCTTCCAGTAACTAAAAATAATTCATAATATTTTCCTATCCTATTTTTAGTCTTTAGTTTTTGTTTCCAAGTGATCTTTTTTGAGTTCTATTTATTAATCTATTTAAAAAATTAGGTTAAATGTCTATCAAATAAAGTTATATGTACATACTTAAAATAAGATGACTACAGAATCTTTTTCTATCTTTAGTACCAGATCTTCATCTCTATCAGAGAAAAAACTACCAGAGCCTTCCCCTGTAACCAGGAGAAAGGCCTATGAGAAAGCAGAAAAATCAAAGGCCAAGGAACAAAAACAGTAAGTTACTCATGCTTTTCATCTATTAGATTGTATAAAATGTCTGCTACACTTAGATGCTAAAGGACAAGAGTGAAATTATTTTCCAGATTTTAGACTGGTTCTGTGGTTATGACAGATTTGACTAATCATGACAATCAGGTCAGCTATTGGCTTGGCTGAATGGTCTTTAAATTTCTTGTTCACACACACCTGTAGAAATATTAAGCACTTGTGCCTGATCATGTGTATGCATATATTTTCCAATTATTTGTGCATATTACTTTAAGAGTTAATATACACCTGAGGTGAGACTTATTACATATCAGTTCTCTAGAAAAATGTGAAATTAATTTTGGTAGTCATCTGACAAAACTACATTGACTTCACCTCTTTAACAGGGTTGACAAAAAAAGTAGTGTTGGAGGGTGTGTGAGTTGTGCCATTTTTTTGCTGTTTTTTATGTTTAAATAGGTAATATCCCCAATTATTATTATTATTATTATTATTATTTTGCTAAAATCATTTTGTTTGTTTGTGGAAAAGCAAGCAAGAATGTATTGACCACAGCCAAAATATACACAGGAGAGTGAGACAAGGAAGGGCATATTTGAAGAAGCAATAGGAGAGACGAAGCTGGGCTGCTTGGCTCACTGGGAAGTCAGAGAAAAGGGGACCTTGGAGGCAGATCCTGGGTTAGCTCAGGACGAGCTGCCACTGCCCATTGCTCCTCTGGTTGCAAGACTCATGGGGCCCTTAGAGTGAGGGGATAAGAGGTGGGGAAAGGAGGACGGGAAGGGAACAGCAGGCATGTGCTCCCTGGAGAGAGAGTGCTTGCCTACATCTTTTAAAAGCTGTTTGTGTGTTTTGTGAAGGTTTATTTACTGAACAGCACATAACATAATCTCATGACCCCCTGGGTAATTTCAATACCTCAACCTGCAGAAAAGTGAATGAATGGGTGAGGGCCACTGTCACCCTTCTACCTCGTGTGTGGCCTAATGCGCTGCATGTGGCAGGTGGGTCTTTGACTCAGCCATGGGTGAGAATATCAGTGCCAGTCTACACTTCAATATTTATTGGTAAAGCTAATTTCTTTACCATAAAAATAAATATTAAAGTAAGTTTTTATACATTTTCTGTACCTGAGTGGACAGCGTTGTACCACCCCCTTCCCTGTGCCAGCATGCACACGCTCTGCCTTGACCACTGGCTTAGCTGACATGAACGTCATGGAAATTATCCTTCTAATCATCCTTGCTTTCTGTGTTTAAAGATGTAATTTGTTGCTACTGAATCAGACCTCTCAAGAATGATTGGGAGATGGGGGAGTGGAGCAAATAAGTAATTTTAAATATAAATGAATGAATCAATTGAGTAGGCAAATCCCTCTTAAACTTTTTGGATCTGATTCCTTGTCTGCAAAATGAACATCTTGGTCTCAGTTCTAAAACCGTATAGTTTTAAATTTGGCTTGCTTTATTTGTACCGACTTTAGAGTTCAGCAGATAGAACTCTTTCTTTAGTGCCATCTTGTGGCCAATGCAGCAATATTCAATGGGGGAAAAATTAAATTGTTCACACAGTGCATTTTATCTTACAATAAAGGAAAAGAGGAAGGAAGAAGGAAGGATTTCCATAATGAAAAGCTTTTTTAGAAAAGCGTGTTTCATATAACATTCCTAACAAAGCATAAGCAATTAAAGCCACCTATTTAATGTTCTTTTTTCTTGTAGCTCAGATTCTGGAACCTCAGAGGCTAGTCTTTCACCTCCTTCTTCCCCACCAAGCCGGCCCCGTAATGAACTGAATGTGTTTAATCGTCTTACTGTTTCTCAGGGAAACACATCAGTTCAGCAGGATAAGTAAGTCATTATGGAGAAGAGCCCCAACGATTTATTACAATATTCTGAACCTGTCAATACAGTCTGTAGAAAACACGTAGCCATCTCTTTGTGCGGGAGATGGAGTCTGACTTGTGAACTCTAGCCATATTTTGTGTGTTGTTCCAACAGGAAATGAACCATAGAGATTATTTTCCTGCTGAACGTTATTCCCTGCTGTAGATTTGCATCTCTATACTTTCAGCACTTGTCTTGCTCTTTCTTTTATAAGTGCATTAGCTTTGAAAAATATCTTTGAGACCACCTGAAGTTTAAATTTCGTGGGATTCTTTAGCTTCTGTGAGCATACAAAAGTCTCTAATCCAGACTGCCTGGGTTGAAAAGATGCAAATTATTTTATCTTTGGTGGATAGAACAGATTACAAAGATTACTGTTCTATACAAATCCACTAGTAAACTTCAATAATAGATTTTGGAATAAAAAAGTACCCTTACGGGTGAAGGGGGTAGATTTGAGGGTGTGTTCTGGGGGAAGGGTAGTTGGAGGAATGTAGAAAATACTATTTTCATTAAATATTCATTGAAAAAGTATTCTCACATTGAGCCAGAATCTCTCTTGCAAGAATTCAGTACTAACAATGCTGCCATAAAGTGTTTGTTAATTCTGACTTACCTGCTTTGATTTTGAATGATAACATTGGTATGTGGATGTACTTGATATCCAGTCTCCCACCCCAATTATTTGTTTTTTATGCTATAATTTCTCTGTATAATTCAACAATTTCAGAAATTTATAGGACTTTGTTTAAGATGTCCAGCATGTTTAGATGATGCTGAATGGCTCTGTAGACTTAGAGAAACACAATAACATGTTGAAATAACCTTAATCTACCTAATTAATGGATACAATTCTAGATCACATTTTAATATGGTTTAATCAGCTGATGATATGTCTTTTAAATTGATCTAGATAGGCAACTGTTGTCTGTTACTGAAAAAGACTCTAATACTGTTACATCATATCTCTTTTTAAAAAATATATTTTATTGATTTTTTACACAGAGGAAGAGAGAGGGATAGAGAGTTAGAAACATTCATGCGAGAGAATCATCAATCAGCTGCCTCTTGCACACCCCCTACTGGGGAAGTGCCCGAAACCAAGATATGCCTTTGACCGGAATCAAACCTGGGATCTTTCAGTCCGCAGGCTGACGCTCTATCCATTGAGCCAAACCAGTTTCAGCACATCACATCTCTTATTTACCTGAGAAAAGAGTAGAAGAATTACTAAATTTTCTTTACCATGCATTCAGTCATACAATTTTCTGCCAGTCTTTTGATGATCTTGACAATCTCATCATAGTTCCACATTTTGTACTGAAATGTTTTATCAGCTACCAACAATTTGACTGTGTTGTTATCTCTGAAAGTTGTCACTTAGAATAATTGAACTTTACACTTTCAAAAGCTCAGCCGCCTTTGGGATCACTTTTTGGGGGGCTCCTTTTTGAGACTAGCGTGTTTCACCAGCTACACATTGTTTCTGGTTACATTCCATGCCAGCAGCACTCACCATCCCCTCATTCTCCCCAAACTTTTTTTACAGGTAAATAGATTTTCCTAATAACCAGACTCACTGCCGGACTGGGAGGCTTTAGGATAGGCCCCACTGCTGACAGGAGTGGGTCATCTATTATAAAAATCCTACTATTTTTTAATCCAGCTATTAGCGAGGGACTCCCCGGTCAGAGGTCAGAATTCCATATTCTTAAGATAAGTTAAAACAAAAAATTATTAAATTGAGTGATTTGCTTTCCTTTCAAACATGTAATATGTTTGTGCAACAGCCATAGTAAAGAGTTCAAATCTAAAGTAATTATCAAGATGAATAAAATTCATGAATAGTTATTAAAACGGAAAACATTTTCTGGTGCTAGTATATTAAATAGAAAGAAACTTGAAGTGATGTGTTTTACTTGCTACGGCTCCTCTTTAGAACCTAAATTTTAGAAATAAGGATAGACAGGCTCTGTGGAGTAGTATATTTTCTCCCCAAAGTCTTGGTAGAAAATAAAAGAGTCGAATAGCTTGTCTGACTTAGCTAGGCATTGAGTTTGCTGTTATCCAGTACAAATAGAGAAGCCGGGCACGATAAAGGAAGTGTTTACCATATTTCAATAATACTGTTGATTTTCATTTCAACCTCTGTGTCTTTATCTGTTGACATCTGTATTCTTTCTCCTCATAATTCTAACTCTTTCGCTGTAGGTCTGATGAGAGTGATTCCTCTCTGTCGGAGGTACACAGGTACTTTCTTTCTATCTTTTCTAAATCCTGGCATTTCATGATGTTCTAAAATGCCTTCCTAATAACTAAGCAAATCTCATTTTTGTTGCATGCATAACTTGTAAACCAGCTAGATGCACTAATATTTTTTAACATATTCATTTTAATGATGCACCTTTTAGACAAAAGTAGTGGCAAAGTTTTTTGTATAGTAACATAAAAACTTGTGATATTTGTTTTCTATTTGTAACCTAGATTTTTTTTTTTTTTAGTAATTAAGTTCTATGAATATTGATTTGAAGAAATTTTGCTCCTCAGTGATTTTTTTTTTATTTCTAATAAAAAAAATGTGGGAGGTCAGTATGGTTATCTTTTCTTGTTTGTTTAGCATTTTAAAATTTTAAATAGAGTTTATGGGAGGTTTTGTGATTTAAAAAGCAAAACAAAAAAAAAAGGTATGCTAGAAAAAAAAAAGGATACTCTGGTAGCAAAAAGAGGAAGAAATAGAATGAAGAAGAGCTTTTTAAATTTTTTTCAATTGATTGATGGTATTTAAAAAATAACAGTGTTGCATTTTTTTGATGTTAACGATTTCTTGGGGTTTTTTTTGGACCCTTAATTTCTCTTTCATCTTTGCTGTCATTTCTTCTTCCCACTTATCATTTGTCTTCTCTCTTTTTGCACTCGTTTCCCTGTTTATGGCCATTTTGCTGATCAGCAGTAGATCCTCCAAAAGGTAGGCAGGGGGAGGGAGATGAAATTAATCTCATTCACAGCATTACAAACTTTATTTTGTTTGCATGGAACAACAATAAACTTTTTTTCTCTCCTTCAAATAAAGTTTGTTTTACAAGTTTGCAACATTTAACCTTAACTTAAAGAAATTATTTTAAGTTGATTTCTATATTTCAGAATGTGAATAGATTAATTCTAATGGAAAAAAAATACCATGGATTGGATGTATGTTTCCAATTTCTATATATATTTTTTCTATTACTTTGTTGTTAAGGAGATATATATATATATTAACCCTAATACTACAAATATCTGAGAACATTTTTCAGTGTCTAATTAATAAAATGCTATATTTAACATTGAGCTTATTTTTCTTCAGAAGTGTGACTAATTAATGATATGAACACACATAACAATGAAAGAAACTCCCGGAGCTGTGCCATACAGAAGTCACTGTATATTTGGTGGCAAATATTTACTACAACCTTTGACTTGACAGAGTTGTGTTGGGTGTTATATCATTGGGAAAGCTTTAGTGAATTCTTAGGATAAAGCTGATAATTTGAAGGAAATCTTTTGGAGATATAGAGTCACATAATTGAGGCTACTGATTTTTTTTCCTTAGGATGGTTTGTGTCATTAGATGCAAATCAGAAACAGCTCTTAGATTATTCCCATGACTTTTTTTTTCTTTATAGTCCGCTTGTTGGAATATGCACATATCTATTTTCTATTTAAGATGTAACAAGTAGCAGCTGACTGTGCATTAGGTCACATTTGTGAACATGGGAAGCAATGTTTTGATGGCTTCATTCAGAGCTAACAACCGAACAGCAACAGGAAGATTCAAATGCCAGAGTCAGACGTTTGGGGAGGTTTTGCTCCCATTTCAGTTTTAATCTGCAGAAAGTCTTACGTTACAAACAAGTTACTGAGCATTCATTTAAAGAATCTCATATTGACACATGTGTGCAATTAATAGCATTAGACTGTGTACTTATATATCTAGTGATAACAATTCCTGGTATCATTTCCAGTGATGAGGTGCTTCTTTTATTTTTTAAAATCATTTTATCTAGATCCTAAAAATAAAATTTAAAAATAAAATTCTGAGCCTAAATTTACCTCCTTTAAATTTCTATTCATTGGTTTTTTCATCAGCACACCTGAGTTAAATCAGAATTAGCCAATAGCTCTTCTTCAGTGTTTGTGACAGTTCTTTAAATATCTACCCCTTTCCCTGTGCTTCTGTGTTCTCTCAGTGAATGTTCTTTTATCATCTGAATAGGCCTAGTTTCATCATCTGTTCCTTATGTGATAGAGTCTATAGGCCCTTCATTCTGCTTCCACTGTTTTGTGAAGTGCCCAGTTTTTCAATGAGCTGAAAATGTGGCATCTGGAACTCAACTCTATTTTAGATGTGGCCTTGGTAGAATATAGAAGTTATATTACTTTCTCCTGAAAATGTTCGGAGAGGAACCATTAATTGTCAATCCGTGAATCATGTATCAATAACTAAATCACTTACACCACTTTCCTACTTTGAACATATATTTGAGTTAAGTTTTATGTTTAAACTAGCGTCCTGGTGCATGAAATTTGTGCACGCAGCCTTGCCTGGGCCCTATTATAGTCTGGGAGCCCTCAGAGGATGTTCGACTGAGGGCTTAGGCCCATTCCCCGTGGGGAGAGAGCCTAAGCCTGCAGTAGGACATCCGTAGCACTGCCACAAAGGTGGGAGAGATTTCCACCACTGCCACTGCACTCCCCAGCCATATAAGCCTGGCTTCTGGCTGATCGGCATCCTCCTGTGGGAGGCCACTGACCACCAGGAGGCAGCTCCTGGATTGAGAATCTGCCTCCTGGTGGTTAGTGCGTGTCATAACGACCAGTCATTTTGCAGTTTGGTCGATTTGCATATTAGCCTTTTATTATATAGGATATCATTCAGTGATTACTTTCATGCTAAGGACATACTTAACAATAAGTGAAAGTTGTTTCAGTCATTTTTTTCTAGGCAATACAACACAGAAGCCATTTTTAAAATATTTCAGTGTAGTAAACATACCATTTCTGTCTTTAGGGCTAGAAAAAACATGACTAGATTTTGAAGACCCCATTTAGACTGGCAGGATTATTGAACCATTAGGTGTAACTCCAAGCACTGCTGAAACTACCTTACTACTACAATTTTGTTCTAACCCATTTCTACAAGATTTCCTTTGAAAGGCTTATTATACGAGCCTTATTGGAGTCAACATATCTTGTGAATATGACTTTCCCCTATGTTGCTGCAGAGTAACCCTATAAATAATTTCCTTCATGAGATCAATCAGCTTGTTTGTTATTGATGAGCCTTTATTAAGTGTTTATAATAATTTTATTCATCTCTAATTTCTGAAATTCAGTTTTCCCCTCCTTTCTGGAATTGGGTCTGCATGATTTCCCCTTTATTGATCTTCTTAGAGTATCAATGGAAGTACTCTATTGATTTTGATTTTTGTCCCCACAGGCGTATACATTGAAAAAACTATGGTATAGTGATTTAAAAACCGAATTCATCAGATGTCTCCATTTATTAGTTCTACTTAGTCTGGGCTTGCATTTCTTCTTTGTCATTTCTGCTGCTTGTATCTCTTGAAGATTGTTTTTGTTTCATCATGAAGTAGAAACAGTATTGTTTTACCCCTGTATTTGTCCTAATATTATGCCATCTGTCTTATATAATGGACATACTTCAATATAATTTTTCCTCCTGCTCTAAACAAAGAAACTTCTGACTGATATATTTATCATGTCTTAATTCATTCTCTCTTTAGTCTTCCTGACACAATTATTTCAATTCAGATCCTGCATTAAACTCCTTTAGGATAGGAATGATGTTTTGAAAATCTGTACATTTCCATATTGCATAGACCAGTAGCATAAAGCAGAAACTCCAGAAACATTAAATGGGATAGATCCCTAAAGAATCTCACTGTTTGTTTTTATTTGTTTGTTTTTGTTTTTTGTTTTTAATTCTCAGTCTTTTTTATCTTATTTGATATTGTTAGTGTTTTAAGTTTTGGGGTATTTTTAAAATATTCACCCTTTAGAATTTCTGACCATGCAATCTTGTCTTTTTTCAAATTTGTTTGAAATTTGCTTTCTCAGTATTTTAGGTGGTATGTGTTATACTTTCTCAAGAATGACCTTTTTGATACAGAGTCACATCTTCCAAGTGCTACCCTATCTACTTTCTTATTTGTCAGAATTCACAACACTCAAACAGCTCTCAATATTGCTTCATTAAATTCTGAAGAGATGAAATTGTTAAAAGAAAATACAAATGTGTCATAGGCCTTGCTCTTTATAGAGCACAGCTGTTAGCTGGTGCCTAATGAGTTGATGTATTCCATTGCTACTATTGCTACTTCACACGTTGCCTTTGGCCTTTGGCTTAAAAAAGAGATGAAGAAGCAGCCTGAATTTTGTTACTAATTATTTAGAAAGACTTCATAAAGTCAGGGGAAAAACTAAAATTAGTCTCATTGTATAGCCACTGAAGTCAGTTCTATTTCTTTGTTTTTTTCCCCCTCCACTTCCCAACTCAGGGGCATAATCAACCCATGTCCTGCCTCAAAAGGAATCAGAGCTTCTGCCCTTCAGTGTGTTCACATAGCTGAGGGGCACACGAAAGCCGTGCTCTGTGTGGATTCCACCGACGACCTCCTCTTCACCGGATCAAAAGGTGCTAGGAGTGGTTTCATGGGGGTATTTAAGATTTTTTTTGAAATGACTGCATTTTTAACAAGCTTTGACCAAAAATAAGCGAAACTGCTTAAGACCCCTAAGGATATAAAAGATCATCTAAGTTAGCCATGAATTGTATAATCTCATACTTGAGAAGAAAGTGAAATCTCTGTTGATGTTATGTGAATAGAATATTGAGAGACTACATCTCTGTTTGGTAATTGAGTACCTAATGCATGCAGGGCCCGGAGCTTAGTAGTGCAGTTTATATTACGATGTACTAGGGGCCATTACAGTGCCAAGTGTGGTAAAGAAAATAAGATGGGGGGGGGGCAACCACCATTTCTTGAACACTTACTGTATTTCAGAGACTCTGCTAGACACTACAAAAATTTTACCTCATTTTAATTCTCACTACAACCCCAGTGAGATACATGTTACATCCTAATTTTGCAAATAAAGAAATTGAGGATTCAAGATATTAAATAATTTTCCCAGAAAAACTTAGCTAGGAAGTGGAAGAGCCAGGATTGGAAATGTAGGTCTACTCATTTTCCAGGCCTGCAATCTTAACCCCTTTGGTACAATTTCAGGTAGTTAGAACTCAACTGTATACACTTGGAAGAGTTATACACCAAGGGTTTTAGGGTTTTGGAAAAGGGAGAGATTTGGCAATCTGTGAGAAACAGGAAGGCTTTGACAAAGGGGGCGTTTAAAATGAACCTTATAGGATGGTTTGCATATTGACAGGTGAGGATTTGGCAACCAAGATTAGAGAATAACATGAAAGGAGACATGGAGGTAAAAGTGGGGTATGTTTGGAAATGAAATCCAGTTGGGTTGAATAGTAGAATGTACATAAGAGAAGTAGTAGGCAACGAGGCTAGGAAGGTAAGAAGGAAGCCTGTTCAGGAATTTGGGGAACTAGTAAAAGTTATTTAGTATTTAGGGATATTATAAGATTCAGTTTAATCAGCAAACACTTATTGCTCATTATCTATGACTGACATAAGAATCTTACTAGAACTTGTGAACTGTAAATTATGGCTAATAGTTCCCATTTTAGAAATAATCTGCTCTGTGAAAATACACTTTCCTAATGATTCCAATTAAATTGATCTCTCCAGATTGTCGTCATACCAAAAAATACAAAACAACATAGAATAGTTTTAGGCTTATGTTTGTGCATCAAAAATAAAATTCATCACACAGTGACCCCTGGAAAAGAAAGCTGCTCATGCATGTGGTGTGTTATGAGGAGGTAGGGACATGATCAAAGCAGAATGTTTTGAAGAGGCTGATTTATTTGATATGACTTTCAAAATATTATGTAATTATTTATTTATTTTAATATATTTTATTGATTTTTTTTTACAGAGAGAAAGAGAGAGGGATAGAGAGTTAGAAACATCGATGAGAGAGAATCATTGATCGGCTGCCTCTTGCATACCCCTTACTGAGGATGTGCCTGCAACCAAGGTACATGCCCTTGACCGGAATCGAACCTGGGACCTTTCAGTCCGCAGACTGACACGCTACCACTGAACCAAACTGGTTTTGGCTGTAATTATTTTTTAATAACCATGTAATTCATGCACCAGACATCCCTGGCTCTCATCTAATCCTTTACTCCTACTTTGCCCTTGAACCTGCTGCAGAGGGTCAGGGATGGAGTCAGGATTCCTGTAGCAGATTAATGGGATAATTACTGTTTTCTAATCCCATTTCTTTCTCGTAGGAGAGAAATTGTTTAAATAATTTTTGTAAAGAGAACCTAACTTAGTTCACACTGACAGTATTTCCTCTTGTTTATTTGTTTGTTTTAGATCGTACTTGTAAAGTATGGAATCTAGTGACTGGGCAGGAGATAATGTCACTGGGAGGTCATCCCAATAATGTCGTGTCTGTAAAATACTGTAATTATACAAGCCTGGTCTTCACTGTGTCAACATCTTATATTAAGGTGTGGGATATCAGAGATTCAGCAAAGTGTGTTCGAACACTGACGTAAGTAACTTAAAGATAAGTAGCATAAAGGGTAAACAGTTTTTGTTTACAAAATATAAGAAAAGATAGCACTATAAATGCATTTTTATTTACTTACTAGAGGCTCAGTGCACAAAATTTGTGCACCGGAGGGGCAGGGAATCCCTCAGCCCAGCCTGTGCCCTCTTGCAGTACGGGAGCCCTCGGGGGAGGTCCAACTCTCTGTGCTGCTGTGGAGTCAGGTGGTGCTCCTGCTGTGGGAGTGCACTGACCACCAGGGGGCAGCTCCTGTGTTGAACGTCTGCTCCCTGGTGGTCAGTGCGATGACTGGTCATTCTGCCATTTGGTTGATTTGCATGTTAGCCTTTTATTATAGAGGATATCTGCCTACTTTCAAAGGATGGTAAAATGTTTACAATAAGAACACAGATAAAGTAAAGGGAAAAATACTATTGAGAAAATAAAATATGGTAGCTTAGTATTAAACAGGAAAGGGTAAATAATTTGATGTGTGATCAAGTATACATTTTATATTTCTATGCTCCCAAATACCAAGGTATCACATTTCATAGCATTTCCTTTGAAAATGGCATAAATCACCATTGTAGACAGTTAAGAAGTGTTTGTAATCTTTAATTGGCAAGTATTGATTAATTGATAGGTTTATTGGGTTGGGGAGGGACTTTCAGTATTAGTTTTAGTATTAGCACACATTTTATAAATGCAGGTCATAGTGGACTATTGGAGGATGAGGTTTTTTTTTTCTATGTCTATCATATATGTCTATAAAATGTGGAGCCAATAATGATTCTTTTTGCCATAAGGTTGATGAACTGTTTTATAATTGAAATTGAGTGTGAACTTTAATGGCTTAAATAAGAGAAGGGAGCATAGGAAAGATTAATTTTTTAATAAAATTAGGAATTTAGAGTAGGGGTTAATAATTTGTAGGGTAGGGGTTATTAACCTTTAATTGCTAATTTGTATTTGGTGAACTACTAATTTTTGTACTGAATATAAGTCTCTTGAGGGAAATTTTATTAAAAAAGATGTTAGAAATTTACCAATCCAATTGATTCCCTAAAGTCAAATTTGAAAACATTAATTATAACTTGATTTTTAGAAGTTAGGTAAGAGAGTGTTTCAAAATTTTAAAATGTGCTTACCCTTTAGAATTTACCAGAGGAAATAGAAATAAATTATGTTTGAGTTTCTAACACATAGTAAATACTTCATGTATGATTGGGCTGATATAAACAAAAATGGAAAATAATTTTAAAAGTCCTTTAAATTCAAAAGGGCAAATTTTATAAATAAAAGCAATATTGGTTGGCCTGACCCTCAGGGGGCTTCTGGAAACTGCAGAAAAATGAGTCACCTTTTTGATACTCTCATTTGCTGAGGTATTTTTGTTTTTTGTTTGTTTGATTTTTAATTTCTGTCACCTGATCTTTTTTTAATGATATTTTAATCATTCTTGATACAGGGCTTGTAATTCTTAATTTATAACAGAATTGCAACTTAAGAGTCTTAAGCATGTCATCTTGTTTTATTCATTCAAAACATGTAAGGTGCCAACTATGCCTGTGTGCGGTGCTGGGTTCTGTGCATATAGTGACCAAAAAGGGCATTGATGCTGCTGTTGCTTATAGCAGGTTTCCAAGAATTCATGGAACTTTAAGCTGAACTCATGAACAGAAATGGTGACTTTTATTTTTTGTTTTGTTCTGTCTCTGTTAAGATCTTCAGGTCAAGTTACTCTCGGAGATGTTTGCTCTGCCAGTACCAGCCGGACGGTAGCTATTCCTTCCGGAGAGAACCAGATCAATCAAATTGCACTGAACCCAACTGGCACTTTCCTGTATGCGGCTTCTGGCAATGCTGTCAGAATGTGGGATCTCAAAAGGTAGAATGTAGAAGACAATGTACTTCTTACACATGGAAAATACACCATTCAGACATTACTAGTGCATCTGAATTTAAATTTTGTAACCCCAGAAGTTAATAGGAAAAATCATAGGATTTTTCTATTCAGCCCAACACCTCCTTCTCTTCTGTTTTCTTTAGCAAAATCACATTTTTTTCTTTCTTTTAAGTAGCATTGATTGGGGGGAAAAAGTGTATGAAGAAAAATAGGATTAAAACCTTAGCCTTTCTTAACATTTGTTACAAATTGAGTTGTTTTCTAGGAAGAGGCCAGCATTCTCATCCTAGTTTACCAGTACCTTTGCAATATTATTTAAACATCTTATATCTCTAAATTTTTTAGTGTATAGACGTAAATGAACAAATGTGGGCATAAAACCTTAAAGGGTTTCTGTGTCTATCAAGAAGATAAAGTGGTTAAAAAGTAAAGAGATTGATACATTGAAATGTAAGGCAATATATCTTTGATTTGATTTTCATTTGCCACGAAATAGGAGCTTTTATCTTTTATTGAGTACTTTTTTTAGTTTCTTTTCTAGTTCTTAAAATGTTGGCAGCAAGAGAACATTCAGTTGTTCATTAAATACTTACTCAACATCAGCTAAAGCCAGCACTGCCCAGCACTGTGTTGGGTCCTGGAAATACAGATGACACCGGACAAATTTGGCTCTGCCTTTGGAGACCTTATGTTATAAGGGAGGATAAAGGCCTGTAAACAGGCTGGTACAGGGCACTGAGGAAAGTTAGCCATTTGGGTACCTCCCTTCTAGCAGGGCTTTGTCACTGGTAAATCAAAGGAATAGTTATTTGAGAAACTATTCCGAAGAATAGTTATAACATTTAAACAGATAAAAGAGAAAGTATAACAAGCATAATTTATAGATAGATGATGGAGAAAGAAAGAGGGGCACCACCATCCTCTGTGCTGTTGTAGAAATAAAATGTTTAAGAAACTTAGAAAAGTCAGGAGTTAGTTTATTCTTGAAGAGAGTACATTTGACTCATGTCAGGAACAGCAGAGAGGAAGATACACAAATCATGACATAAGGCAGAAAAGACATCAGGTTTTGAAAAACCTTCATGCTTTTTATTTTGCAGAAGAGTTAGACCTGGTTGATTTCAGCAGCATGATTAAATACTGATTCATATTAATAAAGTAACTAACAGAATAGTTTTTGAGAAACTGATATTCGAAAGCCAAATTCATGTCTGCATTCCAGCAGTGGGATTTAAGATAGGACTATGAAATAAAGGTTTACGGTCACTCCTATTGATTGACACCATACATTTTCCTACCAGCCTGATATATGTTCTGGTCATTTTCATATATTTATAATAACTGAAAAAATATACCAGCTATTTTCTGATGTACATATTTATATAAATATATGTACATAAATGTATGCATGTATGTTTGTGTATACTTGACTGCCTATCTGTATTTTTCTATAGGTGAGAATATTTGTATGTGTGTTTAATAAAATAATCTTATTTTCTTTATATTCTTATTTATTAGACAAATTATTTTAGTGATATAGTTGTTTTAATCAAATTAGATCTAATAACATCAGTAATATGTCTATCACATGTTTAGATATTTAACATTAATGTTTTTCTGGACTTGTATTGGGAGTTAAAAGTAGTCATAAGCAATTTTTTGGACTTTTGCTTTCTCTTTGTTTACTAGATGACATTTGTCAGCTTTGAAATACCATCATTAGGATTCTTCCCAATTCTTTTTGCTATTTTAAAAAATACTAATTTTGCACAGAGTTGAAGTGGAGCTAAAATAAATAAAAATATTAGTGAACTATTTTATTAAAGAATATAGATTATTTATATTGAAGCTTGGCATCAGCATCCTAAGGAATATTTTCAAAGAAAATTCTTTTTCTTTTTTTTTAAAGGTTCCAATCTACCGGAAAGTTAACGGGACACCTAGGCCCTGTGATGTGCCTTACTGTAGATCAGATTTCCAATGGACAAGATCTAATCATCACTGGCTCCAAGGATCATTACATCAAAGTGTGTATAATAGAATTGTTGAATTGTAGTTTGAAGTATTCAAACTCATTCATCCTTTCTCTTAATTTTTGTTTTTCCTATTTCTAGACTTTGCTTTTTTTTTCCCCCCTGATCTTTCCCTCACTCAGAGTTCCTGACTTTATCATCTTATTTAATGATATTTTCCCATTTTTGATAGAAGATAGGATAGGTTGAGAGTGATTTTAAAGATTTTAACTCAGTCACCCAACCAATACTTGAGTCTCATTGTCACCATCTTTTATACCGAGCATACTATGGTCTTCAGATTTTATAAAATTAGTAGGTAAGCTGAGGAAAGATGTATAGTTTGATTATGGAAATGTTAAATTTGGTAATAACAGAGGACATCCTTACATAGGCCAGCAGATTATTAGAAAGACAAGCCCAGAGTTCATGATGAGTTATAACTGGAGATGTAGGTTTGAAAGCCATTCAAAAAGAAGCAGATGTTCAAGGAGTTCGAGTAGATGACATGACGAAGGAGAGGAGTTGATAGGACTCGGCCTTGGGAAATCTCTGTAAGAGCCAATAGGAATTAAAAGAGGGTATGGTAAGAGAGAGTGTAGCTCTGAATAAAACAAAAAAAAAAATGGGTTAGTGACTTGAAAATTGAATGAATAAGGGGAGAGGATTTTGTATACAGTAGATTTGAGCATGTCTATATGCTTAGGAAATGGGTTTAGTGGAGAAGAGAAGTGTAAGGAGAAGAGTGAAGTGGCAATTGATGGAGGTGGTAGGAGTTAGACCAGATCAAAGATGTGAACCTTGAGAAGAATTAAGTACACTCTAGCATCAGAAAAGAAAGGAAGGGTAAGATAATGTTTGGAGATAAAAGGAAACTTTGGGATGGAGGAAAGGGTTCAAAAATATATTTTTGATCATGCTGGCCTTTTCAAGAAATCACAAGGTCAACAGTTTATAAAGTTGAGGGCAACTGAGGGGAATGAAAGGTTTTGAAATAAATGGTTAAGGGGATTTGAAATGGCCACCAGGACTACAGTGCTTTCTAGTAGTGTTTAAATAACAATTATGTTATTTATTTGACTTTCAACTGGATTATACATGAAAAAATTGATTGTCTTTCTTAAAAGGCATGTAAGCATGAGACATGTAAGCAAAATAGTGTGAAAGTGGGACTCAGGTTCATCCTGAGTGGAACAGACCAGGTAATTTAGTTAACTCAGTAAGATATTCTAACGAAACAAATGTCTGATGACTATACATGTGTATGCATTTCTGTGAATGAACACATATAGCTGCTTATTCTAAGTTAAATATGATGACTGCTTTCTTTTTGCTGTTTTTTAGATGTTTGATGTAACTGAAGGGGCTCTTGGAACTGTGAGTCCCACCCACAATTTTGAGCCCCCTCATTACGATGGCATTGAGGCGCTAACCATACAAGGGGATAACCTATTTAGTGGGTCCAGAGACAATGGAATCAAGAAATGGGACTTAGCACAAAAAGACCTTCTTCAGGTAATGTAAAATCTTTTCACAGAATGGAGTTGGTATTTCAGAGCCACTCAGCAGTCTCTATAAAAATTTGAAGAGCCTCTGTGTAGATCTTCATTGTTTAGGAATGATATTCCTCTTAAGGAGTATTTCCTTTTCACCCACCTGAGTTACTAATTATGAGAAGGGAAACATTCGACATTTATTATATACCTCACCAACAAAAGGAGACTAGACACTAAAAGATCGGGGATTGTCTCATGTATGTGCTCATTGAATAAAATCAGTCTTGGTATAGAGCTGTTAAAGTTTCTTCTTTTGTTTTGTTTTGTGTACACATATTCCACAGAGTAATGAGTTTAGCTAAAGTCAAAGTAGTATAAATGATTCCTCAACTTGCAGGAATATTTTCTTGAATCTAAAAGTGTTGGTTCTCTAATTTCCTATAGAACACTAGTTGGATTGAAATGTTGTGTCATTTCAATCAAATATTGTTCTATTTCCCTAATTCCCAAGGGAAGAAATTAGCTAACAGATAAAATTGTTCTCAGTTACATACAGGTGTGTATGTATTGCAGTTGCTACTACTTTCCTGCCTGTGACTAGACAAAACAAAATAAATAAGTAGCATGGAGTATTAATAGAAAAAACAGAAACAGATGCATATATCGCATTCAAAAGTTTTTATAGATACACATTCATGGTGTGACATTTATATTGCATATATAAAAATATTTATGCATAAAATATAGTCGTACAGTCTGATCTTCTAATTATTGTTTGCTTATTATAATATACCTGAGGCTCGGTGCACAAAATTTGTGCATTTGGGGGGGGGGGGGTCCCTTAGCCCAGATTTCGAGAGGGTGCAGGCCAGGCCAAGACACTCCACCAGTGCATGATTGGGGCTGGGGAGGGATGTAGGAGGTTGGCCAGCCAGGAGGGACCACAGGAAGGCTCCAGGCTGTGTCCAGCCCATCTCATTCAATCCCAATCAGCTGAACCCCAGCAGCAAGCTAACTATTGGTCAGAGTGTCTACCCCCTGATGATCAGTACACATCATAGCGATTGATTGACTGGTTGACTGTCTGCCTCCTAGTGGTCTGTGCACATCATAGCAAGCAGTTGAGCAACCTTAGCATATCACTAGCATATTATGCTTTGATTGGTTGAATGGACAAGCGGGTGATCGGAGACATAGCATATTAGGCTATAAATATATTTGAAGGATAGGTTAACTCCAGTGTTCTACAAAAGTTTAAGTCAGTGATTTTATGAGGCAATTCTTAGAGTCTACATGCCAGGTTGTAGTTTTTAATTTGTTTTTTTAAATACATATTGGGAAAGGTGAGATATTTACTGACTATGAAAAGAATGTAATGTTTGACAAATTTTGTATACTTTCTAAGTCCTTTAGATTTTATAGATTTTTAACACTATAAGCCTTTAATACTGATATTACTGATAATAATTAGTGAGGCAGATTATAGATTTCTTTAAATCCCCAAGAGTGATTGCATAGAAAATGATATACATTTTGCAGCCATTCAGCATTCCAAAAATTGAGTTTTATCAATAAAAATGTTTGTAACATTTTTGAGTGTGAAACTGTATGCCCCCCCTAAGCTTCTATTTCTCTTATTTCTCTCAGCAAGTTCCAAACGCACACAAGGATTGGGTCTGTGCCCTGGGAGTAGTGCCAGGCCACCCGGTCTTGCTCAGTGGCTGCAGAGGGGGCATTCTGAAACTCTGGAATGTGGATACTTTTGTGCCAGTTGGAGAGATGAAGGGCCATGATAGCCCTATCAATGCCATATGTGTGAATTCCACCCACATTTTTACTGCAGCTGAGTAAGTTTTTCCTATGGGATTTTTTTCTATGTTAGTTACTTGAGTTCAGATTTAATAAATACTGTAGGTTGTAAATATCTGGAAATGTAGAACATGAAAACATTGGACTCAATTTGCTCATCGATAAAAAGGGAATAATAGCATTATCTACTTATGCTAGTTAAAGAGAATTAGTGCAATAATGTACTTAAAGGGCACATGTAACAATGCCTGGCACATACTCTTGATAATATGAGTTATGTTTTTGCCGTTTTCTACTGAGCTTTTTTATTTAATTTAAATTCTTTATTGTTTAAAGTACTACACAAATCTTCTTTTTCCCCCCATTGACCTCTCACCAGCTACTTCCACCTCCCAGCATGTGTCCTCACCCCCCTACTGTCTGTGTCCATTGAATATGAGCTATTTTTAATATTATTATTATGATGCCCTGTTAGATGTACTTATGGCACAAGCTATATTTTTACTTACATCTATTAAAGACTATTTAGAAAATGTTTCCATGATAAGTAATTGTACTAGCTGTTTCTTTATCTTTCTGCCTATTTTCTCATTTTTAATTTATTATTTTGTAGCGATCGAACTGTGAGAATTTGGAAGGCTCGCAATTTGCAAGATGGTCAGATCTCTGACACAGGAGATCTGGGTGAAGATATTGTCAGTAATTAAACATGAATGAAGATAGACATAAACTGAATACTGTGATAATACTCTGTATATTCTTCGTGGAAAATATTACACTACATTTATTAGGCAAAAACTTATGAATGGAATTAACAGGAAATTATATATCTGAATCCAACTTCTGAATATAAATGTATTCTAGTAAAATTGTGTACAATTCTGTGTGCTTAATAGTAACATCTCTGAATACATGTATGTCCCAATAACTGATAATACTGCTTGATTCACATTTTATCATGGCTGGATTTTTGTGACTAGCTATTAAAAAAACACACGCTTTCAAATTATTTGAATTACAAAATGTCTGCTTTTGTGACAGTCAGAAAATACACTTGGAATATTATGCAACCCACTGATGGTTTACTCATTTATAGTCTGTTCAGATGACTACCATATTTAAATATATTGGAAATGTAGTCAAATTGTGGTCTGTTTGTCTGGTATTGATATCAGTCTATGGAGGGTTTCCAAATTTCAAAGTTCCCAAAAAATAACATGAATAGTGTTGATGATTTTTCATAAGGTGGAATTGACCTTTATCTACTAACAAAGAATGTTGAGCAGTTTGTGTTAAATGTTGACGTTTACTTGTATTGACCAAAGTTTTGCAGCTGTGCTATATATATATATATCCTGTGCTCAGGACTAAAATGCCGTTAATTGTTGTATTAGTGGTGTGCATATATTCTATGATGAGAAACATTTTTGATGTCCTAGCAGAAATATATTTTGTTCTATTTTCCTATGGAGTTGTTTCTATGATTATCTTTTAATTTCATTTTTATTTAATAGTAGTATTTTCTCCCCTTATGTCTAATTTTTTTATATGCTGCTAAATATATTTTAAATACACTATCTCGCAAACTTGGTAGCTATGATGAAAATTGTATCATCTGTGGTGGGAAAAGCTATGTAAATAGGTAGGATGTAAAAAGAAAATGTCTTACATTGTAACTGTATGAATTTTTAAATGTTGTAGATTGGATTTTGCAAGAGGATGTATAATTTATGTCTGTTCAGAATATTAATTTGTAAATTCTGCAAGTTTAATTTTTATGTAGATGTTATAACATTTGAACATATTGTCTTGTGAATCCTGCCCCCTCACCCCCTCTCCCTCCAAAGATATTTGCTTGTAAATGAAAGCTTAGCTAGGGCTTAAATAAACATATTGCTAGGAATTATTTTTATTCTATTGTTTTTTCTAATTATACTAGAGGCCTGGTGCATGAAATTTGTGCACTTGTCGGGGAGGGGAAGTCCCTCAGCCTAGCCTGTGCCCTCTCGCAGTCCAGAAACCTAAGCTGGCAGTCGGACATCCTCAGCCCTACCACAGAGGTGGGAGAGGCTCCCATCACTGCCCCTTTGCTTGCTCTCTGTGAGCTCGGCTTCTGGGTAAGCAGTGCTCCCCCTGTGGGAGTGCACTGACCTCCAGGGAGCAGCTTTTGCATTGAGCATCTGCCCCCTGGTGGTCAATGCATGTCATAGCAACAAGTTGTTCAGTCAATTTGCATATTAGCCTTTTATTTAGGATGAAAGTGGCCAATATTCATATAGGTTATTTTACCTGTGTGTGATATAAGGAAAGGGTTTTGTTATTGTTGTTGTCTAGCACTTCATATGCATTCCTTTCTTTGCTCACTAGACATGAAATATTCTTGAAAATGTGAACGATAAATGAATCTTTTAAAAAAAAAATATATATATATATATTTGATTTTTTTACAGAAAGAAAGGGAGAGGGATAGAAAGCTAGAAACATCGATGAGAGAGAAACATTGACCAGCTGCCTCCTGCACACTCCCTACTGGGGATGTGCCTGCAACCAATCTACATGCCCTTGACCGGGACCTTTCAGTCTGCAGACCAATGCTTTATCCATTGAACCAAACCAGTTTCTGCCCATAAATGAATCTTGATGAACCAAGGAAGCTCACTACTTGAGGGAATTAAATCAAGCTATAGAATTTAGGCATTTGAACATAGATAGTAAAACAAATAAAAATTATTCCATAAATTTAAGACAACAGTGACTTTGGTTCCTTGAAGAAGTGGAGGGAATGGTAATGAGGTGGTGCAGGAGGCGAGTTGGGGTATTGAGGGGTATGGAGATACTCCTGGGATACCAGTAATGTTTAATGCTTGACCTGGGTCCCCTGTGACATATTAAACTGCGCATATATTTCTTTGTTCTTTTAAGTACTGTGTTACATTTCAGAGTAAAATTTAAAAAAAAAAAAAAAAGATTTTTCTATAAAGAGAAACTCAGCTGCTTTGTAATTTTGCCTCTTCCCTTGAAGGGAGATACTATGCCTACACCTGAGAGACATTGTCGGGGCTATTTTTAAAATTCAATACTTTCAGGATGTTTCTTTTCCCAGGACTACTGCTCAACAAGTCCCTCATTTAACAATTACTTTATTAAGTGACCATCTGAATCATACACTGAGCCAGGTAATGGGGATGAAAAAATTACAAGACTGAAATGAGGTTTGACCTCTTGAGTGGAAAGAGAATAAATCCAGCACTTACAGAACAGCTGGGTAAGTTCTTGGATGGGGAAAATCTTAGAACCTATAAGAGGCATCTGAGCCTGCCTTTGAATCCAATTAGAGATCTATTAGGGCAGAGTTTCCCAAACTTCTCTCATGATGAGAATCACCTGGTGGAGTTGTTAAAATACAGATTCCCGAATCCCAACTAAGAAGTGCTAAACTAGAAATTTTGGGAACATATAGGTAAAATTGTATAATTAACTAGTGCTCTAATTTTACCTATATGTTCCCAAAAATTCTAGTTTAGCACTTCTTAGTTGGGATTCAGGAATCTGTGTTTTAACGACCCCACCACGGTTGTCAAACATCATGAGAGAAGTTTGGGAAACAGTGTTTTAGGGGATCCTGAGCAATTTACTTGCTTGTGCAGAACCCAAAGCCTGCATCTATTTTACCTTTTCACATGCTGGAGGCTCAATTAGAGTTGATCTGATTCATGTAATTAAAAAGAATACGTAGCCAGACCAGTGGCTCAGTGGTTGAGTGTCAACCTATGAAACAGGAGGTCATGGTTCAATTCCCCTCAGAGCACATGCTAGGGTTGTGGGTTCGATCCCCAGTAGAGGGCATGCAGCAGGCAGTCAATCAATAATGCTCTCTCATCATTGATGTTTCTATCCCTCCCTTCCTCTCTGAAATCAATAAAAATATTTAAAAATAAATAAGTAAAATGAATATGTAAAAGAGTCAGTCCTCTTAAGACTTAAAATTTGAAAGATGCTGGAAGAAGTCACGGAGAAGACATAATCAGTGGTTGACCTGCTAGCTGGACTGGGCAATCAGCGTGGCTCTCCCCTCCCCTGCCCCCGCCCCCATCCTTGCAATGTAAGTTCGCCCACCCCAATGGTCTGCCCACTGTTCCCTTAGCAGAGCTGTTGAAGGAGGTGGCCTGGAGAGAGGAAGGTGCTGAGAGCATGGAGACTGGGTGGGTGACTGGACCCAGTTAAGGCCTCAATATAAATTGTTAAGATTATGGCCAGCTGGAGCAGAGATCCACTTGTCTTGCGATCACCTGAGACAAGGCTCATGTAAGTTCCTTTGCTTATTAAGCTTGCCACCCACCAGAGGGCCAGTGGTCTGTCCCTTTCTTCAATCGTTCCTTGCCCTACGTGTGGGAGAAGGGACTAATTTACGAGCCAACAAAATGTAGCCTTAACCCCTAAAGATTCCACTCAGGATGGTTAACAGTAACTCAAAATAGTTAAAATAGTTCCTCTAAAACTTAAAAATGGGTTATTCCACATTATGTATTAAACATACAGTATACCTTATCTGCTCAGGATGGCATCTTTTTTTTTTTTAAAGATACAATTTTTTTCCTACAAATTCAAGTCTCTGCATTTTATCTAAAGAGTAATGACAAAGTTTTATCTATTATGTCCATATTTATTTAATTCCCAGCTGACGTGGACTCTTATAAAAATTTAAATGAACGTAAGCAAGTAACAAAGTTATTTCGTGCTGCTGTTAGTATTTTTCATTAAGCATTGCCTAAACCTTACCTCAAAATCATTTTAAATTCTGTTTTTAGCCTCAGGATAAATAGGTTGCATTCCTGCTATGTTGCTGCAGATTTCATTTGCCAACTACTGTGCAGATGCTGGGAGCTGGAATGTTGTATTTGCAAATTACAGGCATAACAAAATGTACAGATTTCTAAATTTGAGCATTATGGTGCAAAAGTAAGAGTTATCTTTCCGGTTTCTAACCATAATGAGATGTTCAACCAATTTTAAAATGTAACAGCTGCCATTACGCTCCCTCTTTTTTGATGAGACTCATAATTGTAATAGCTAACATTTGTTGAACATTTACTCCACGTCCCTTTGACTCCACGTCCCTTAAATAGGGGGAATCTAAGGTGCCACTAATGGTCAGAAACACCCCATTCGAGTGAGGGTTAAGTGTAAAAAAGAAATGGCATCCTAGAACGGGGGAAATAGATCCTAGAACTAGAAAAGTACAGAATTATGGGAGATTCTGCCATACACAGTGACAAATGATATTATGTCATATGTGACAGATGGTATCACTCCAACCCTTGTACTGTGTCTTTGTGTGTGTTAGATTTAGGGAAAGTATGGTCCACCTTTCTCAGACTTGTTTTTAACTTGAGTTCCACATTTAACCTGGTTTCCACCAAGCCTACAATCCCACAGGCCATAATTTTGCCAATCCTTGTTCAAGATGGTTACATGGAAGAGAAAACTTTTTTTTTTTTTTTTTAGCTACTACATTTTAAGATCCTTGTTAGAGCAGTCTAATTAAATGATACATATCCATATAGTTAATGATTCAACAAAATACGTTCTAGAAAAGGCTTTCTGCAGAGAGAGAGTATATAATCCAGACATTATACATTTACATATTTATTCAAACAAGTTTAGGATGCATGGCAGTAAATATCTTGTTCTTAAAAATATAAGAATA